TATATATATATATATACACAATGTTCACAATGTAGTGAAAACATGAAAAAAGTGCAGGATAATGAAAAAAGGGAAAAAGAAAAATAATAAAAATCCGGAAAATAAAAGATCTTATCATCAGCTCACACCATTATATCCGCAAAAAGGAGAGCTTTCTAATATTGAATCAATTATAGCCAAAGTAAAATATATCAATACAATAGTGTGTGGAGCACTAAAAAAAAAATTCAAATAACATTAAGAGTAAAAAAATATGAGGTAAAAACAGAGAATAAAAAGCGAAGAAAAACCAGAATGAAACAAAATCTATAAAGCGAATTCTTATATGAACATTTTTTAAGAATGATTTAAATTATTTTCGTAACAAGATTGCCGAATTAGAAAATATGAAAACAGAAGCACAAATTGAGATAAAAGCGTAAATAGAGGTTGTGAAGAACCGAAATGGGAGGTCCGAATGCGGCTTTCGTAAATGTCCGAAGTATATACTAGGTCTAGTCTGCCGGGGTTCATTCGTTGCCCGGTATACCCTACATCGATGTTTTTTAAGGTCAAGTGCCACCGACCGATGAGCACTTAACCGGTACTGTGAACACTTCTACTCACCTATCCTCAGCAAATATTAAAATATCGATTAAATATAATAATATCAAATTGGATGATTTGTAAAAAGATTATTCCTTTAAATAACATAAGGAGAAGATTTTGGATGTTTAACGCATTTAAGGCCTAGCAGAAGAAATTTTATGAAATAGTTTGTTATTTTCATTAAAATATACTTAAATTCCTTTCATTAAGACACAATAAAAAAAGAGTTTCGTGCGTGAAAGATAATACCTTATTTAAGAAACGAATGGATGCACATTTAATAAAATGCATAATGGTCATAAACTGTAATGGTGAATAAAATCGTAATGTTTTTTACAGAACTTTAATCAATAATAAAAATTATAGGATGAGCCTCGAGTGAAATATTTTTCAAAAAATCGAGTTCGTCAACAACCGTTTCAAGTTAAATCACTTGCGTATTTTAAAATTTTCTCAACAGAAAGTGTTTTATGACTAATATTTTATGAATGTCTTCAGAACCCGTAGTTTTTCGTGAATAGCGAAAAAAATAAAATCTATATCAGAGTGTCAAAATGTATTGACATTTTGCATTTACGCACCATCGGCCAAAAATGGGTCAATGTTAGAAGTGTTTTATTATAACCGTCGTTGGACAGCCCACCCAATTTTGGGTGGACGACTACTAATCTCCGTAGCCTTGTCATTTTGAACCCAAACCAGAAGACAAGAGGGGCTCGTGGATCAAGTACTGGGAGAAATTCGCCTTCGTGGAGGACTATTTGATGGAAATGACCCGCATTTGCGTTACATGGAGAGGAAAACCACGAAGAACCTCCCACTGTTAGTCTCATAGCTAGGTTACTCTAACCCACGATCCGTCTACTGCTGAGGTTATTTTGCAACAGCACTGTGGTCGGTGTGAGTCGGGCGCGTCATTTGACCAGACATCGCTGGGATGCGAGCCCGGTTCATCTCATTGGAAGGCTCGATTCCCTACCACAGCTCTTTTAGTATTACTCGATTTATAAAATACATTAATGAGAAATACTGTAATTGTTGCAAATGTTATGCAATTGTTAAATACGAAATTTGCACAAGTTTGCAGAACGAAGTTTAGTACATGTTATAGTGGTTAGAATTTTTTTTAAATCAGAATTTATTAAAATGTTATTATTAAATGTTCCCTTTTTCCCGTTTTAAATAATTATAAATGTATTTTTTTCCTGACAGTGCAATACCCATTCGATGAAGATACCGATGCCATCAGTGTTGTATTTGGAACGAACGAAAACGTCACGAAGAATGGATTTCAGATTTTGTTTCAACAAATTTCCATTTGCGAGGAAGATCTCAACGGTAAGTTTCTCCCTATCTTTTATCGATTTATTCGTTTTCAGAATTTTGTTCATATTATTATAAATTTAAAATACTTAAATATATAATCTGAGTTACAAAACTTTGTTGAAGTCGTGTTTTTGAAATTTGAGTTCTCAAGTCTAACCGTGATTTTTGAAGTCTCCCCGTGTACCAAATGGTGACATGTGCATGTTAAATTTTTCGGGTCACAAAGTCCTCCATGTTCCCATAACAAATTATACCCCTTTGGGGGGGGAGATGAATCGTTCAGGTCAAAATGACGATCTGTGGATGAATGAATGGGTCCACCCTAATAACGGGTGTGGCGTATGGGTGTTGGCAGAAGTCGAATTCTCGGTCATAGATGGCGCCACCGAAAAACGAGAACAATAGCACCCCCTCTGCCTTAATGGTCGACGACAACGACACTAATGTAATTAATAACTTTATACCGGTTTATAAAATCAGACACCCATTTAAATCACCTTATCTTGAAGTGTAACGTAGAATTGCGTTATTCTAAAAATAATAAAAATTATCCTCTTAAACGAAGTTCGAAAACATATTCAAGAAAGTAATAATAACAGTTCAGTACCTTAAAATTAGGAATGCAAAAATATTTATAGGAAAAATGTTATGCTGGTGACAACCAAAACAATATGAAATTAATGTGTTAAAACTGTATTCTACCCAATAAAAATGCACCAGTGGAAAACACCATCATTCGATTTTTATATGGAAAAGACGCACTCGATGTAAAATCTTAATTATCATGTGATACTCTATACAGTTTTAGCGCAGTTGTTTACGTTCGAGTATCAATTGTTAAAAATAAATACAAATAGGGAGGCATATGGAGGAATAAAAACCCCATTACATTCAAATATAAAAGTATTACATGCAACCTCGTGAAAAACATCTAATTATTAAAAAAACAAACTACAGTACGTCTACTAATTTGATCTAATTATTATAATGTAATACCGGATCTAATAAATGTTTATATTGTCGAATTTATCTTCCGTCTCATTTAACCCATTGATACCGCAAACAAGTACAAAACACGTAAAACACGTACAGTCACGTAAAAGCTGCATAGACTATCCCCAGATAATTAAGACTCAGATAATTTAGCCACGGACTGTATAATAGGAAATTAATAGGCCGCTCATTGATACTGAAACCAAACTTTCTGCTATTGGGACTCTATTTTCCAGATTTGGGCCATTCTCTGTAGAAGAAAAAAAATTTACTTCACAGAAATCAACTGATTTCGTTTTTCAGCTATCCCTGCTATCCATGCGTGTGATGTCCTGATTACTGATCCATCAGGAGAACTGGTCACCCATCGGTCACCCGAAGATGCCCGAGGTGATCCCGTCTGTCGTTACACAGTTGGCAGAAGGCATTCCGGATATTGTCAAGTGGAATTGGATTTCGTGGATTTCAACGTGGAATACAGTCCTGGATGCATCGGGAGCTACGTCCAGCTGGATGGTCATCGTTTCTGTGGTACATCTCTTAGAGGCCAAAAAAGTAAGTTTCAATTCTTTAACAGGAAAAATTATTTAAAGGTGAGATTTTTCCTCTTAGATAAATAGTATCAAATCCTAAATATTACAGTGTTAGAGTAACTTAAATGGCGATGTTTCAGGGGATAGAGCGCTCGCCATCCAATGAGGCGATCCGGGTTCGAATTCCAGTGATGGCTGGTCGATATGAATTCTGCATCCGGCTTGCACCTACCACAGTGCTGACTTGAAATATCCTCATTGTTAGACGGATCATGGGTTAGAGACCCTTTGCCGTCCATGGGAGGTTTTCTTCCTCTCCATGTAATGCGGTTTAGCAAATGATGGTTATATGAATTGAGATTTGTAAACATGAAAAACGAACTGAAATATTTCCCTGTCTTCGGTTGTTTTAAGTTGAAAAATTAGCATTAACAGGGATTCCATTAATCGCCATAGTAAGAGGTGCTTCTAGTTATATTAATTAAAATAAAACTAAAATTTTTGTACTAAAAAGCAAAATGAATGGGGAAATGGTTCTAATTCACTCAGGTAAAATCTATAAATTGTCATGTTATTATTGACACACATAAAGAGTCATTAATTTTCTTAATAGGTACTAAATGAAATAAGATCCATGGTAGGTACTAAAAAGCTAAATTAACGGATACTTCAGGAGGTACACAAAAAATCGCCATACTATTATTGATGGTAATGTGTGCAAATTTAAACAATGCTAAATATACTGTCAAATTAGAATATTCGGTACCTATTAAAATTGCATTCATAATATCGATATTGTGGAAGTAAGTAAGTATTTACTGGAATTATTCAAAAGTGACTGAAGAGTTGAGCAAGATTACTATCAAAAAGAGAGATGCTGTCAACCGTGACTGAGACCAGACGTATGTCTGAAACGGTAAAAAAGTATCGGTGACTGGAGTTTTAAGCAAGGTTGCTGTCAAACAAAGGATTACTGTCAACTGTGACTTAGAGTAGAAGTTTGGCTCAGATGGTGCAAAGGTTTTGTTGATTAAGAGTAAAATTAGGTATAAAAAAAGAAAAGAATACCCGTAAGAGGTTATTGTCAAACATCATTGACATCAATTATTACTTTCTTATCGTTGCCATGTTGACAAATAGTTTTGTTAAAGTAAAATCTTCGTAACTAAATACTTTCATTAAACCTTTTTAGATTTGTAGTTTATTATTACTCAAATATCAACCATTTATGTATGGGGCATCTTCATACTGGCGACGATCTGGGAAAGCAATTTTGAGGGTGATCCAAAGACATGCCACCTCAGTTTTGGTTCTCTGCAGAGGGCTCACCCACTTTGGAAGTCCTACCCTCACCCACTTTCGGTCCCTTCAGGCTGTTCAGAGGGACCAGTTCTCCTGGGAAACATGTCTTTAAGATCAGTCTACAGTGAGATAAAAGGATAAGAAGAAAACTCGCTGAGAATCTTTTTTTTTTTCTTCCAGAGAACGTTACATTTGATGCCTTAGGAAATGTGCACATTGTCTATAAGACAGATACAGTGCGAATGGATCGTGGTTTCCATCTGTTATTCAGACAGCTCGTCTGCCCTCCCGGTGATCCCGTCCGCCCACCTGGAGGTTCAGGTATGTTGTTTTCCTCTCTGGTAGATATTATATAACTTATTGATAAAATTTCATGTTCATCTTCTTGCATTGTAAGTTTTTAAATAAACTACGCTTAAAAAATACAATGAACCGGTAAGCACACAGTATGTACAGTGGTCACAAACTTGGAACGTATCATAAAGGTTGATAAGGACCACCATGCCAGGAAATGCTAACGTACACCAATGAGGTTGCAAACAGCCTTATGGATGGGTTGTTTGTACGCATTTGAAGCGGTATTTTCATCTATGTGTCAATTATCTAAATAGGTTGATTTATGATTCCCAATAGTGACCTTCAAACAGAGTAGAAAAAACAATTTTGTTTCGTATTTTACTGATTTGAAACCTAATGGGCGAGTCAATTGCGAAATCCATTAAACACGATATGAAAAAAGCAGCGAACCGTGATGGCCCAGAAGATAGTGTTTGCCTTCCAATGAGATGAACCAGGTTCGAATCACAGCGATGGCGGATCGATACGGATTCCGCATCCGGTTTGAACCGACCCCAGTGCTGAGGTTAAATATCCTAAGCGGTAGACGGATCATGGGTTAGAGTCACGTGGCAGGTTTCCATGGTTTTCCTCTCCATGTGAAGCAAATGTATTTTACGTACGCACATTTTGCTCAATCTCTTTTAAAGAACCGAGATGGTTCTGCAGCAATTACTGCGCTGTGCTGAAGTATTTTTACCTACGCGAGCTTGCGGAATGCTACATAAATCTTCTGACTACCTGGAATATTCCCCCCCATCCGTTAAGAAAAAGACATCTTCTCTTTCTAAGTAAACAGGAAATCGATTCAACTAATGAATCGAACATAACAGTTTTTTTCTCAATATGCTGTATCCCAATTAATTTTTTTTTTAAATCTTTGCGTTCATTTTTTTTTCTATTGATGAATGAAAGAGAAAAATAATTTTCGAACTATGTTGTCATTTCAGTTCAATAAACTAAGAAAACCTTTGAAACCCAGGAAGTAATTGGTTAGAAGTTCATCATGCGTGTCTAACAGTATGGCAATTATGTGAACTACAGTACAGTGTTAAAGAACTGTTACATGTTCAGCCATCGCTTTATTAAGAGACTTAGTGGAACAATTTTCCTTTTTAGACGTTACGATAAGGAACACTTGAAAGGTCAAAACACTTCACTGTTGTCCGAGAAAATTGATTTTTTTTCAATGCCAATGAAACTTTTTAATAAAAAACAATATGATTGTTTTGTCATGCTAATTTATGGTAGAAAAATTATGTAACATTGGCTCAATATATTGTTAAAAGAACGACACGTCATTTTAAAATTACAGGAAAAAAAATTGGCGGAATATGCCATCAAGAGATTTTTTTTTTATCCAAGCTCTTTAATTAAAGGAAATATAAAAGAAATTTACAGTTAGAGTGTCTTACAAACTCTAAAGAAGAAAAAAAAATTCCTTAATTTTAGTTATGTTGTTTGAACGAAATTGCACGAGCAGTTCTTGAGAAATAGAATTTCAAATTTATGATTTTCAATAATTGGATAACTTAGAAACTATTCGAACGATTTCATTTGTACTTTGTCTTTCAAAATTATTTAAAATGATATTTGTATACCTTAAAATGGAAAGCAATAAATACTTATTAAATTGATATCTGAATCGAATTATCGTTGTGTAAGAGTTGAATTAAGAAAGGAATTGGTGCGTATAATAAAGTAAATTTATTTATGTATTGTAATTAATAGATTGAAATATTTGGTATATGTACTAATAATTGGATATAGTCATGATTAAAAAAAGTTAAATGATTGAAACGTCGTGATAAATAAAATTAAGGCCGAAATATATGAAAGGTAATTAAAATAAATTAAGGGGGGAATGTGATCGTTAAGGAAAGTGGTAGTACAATGCTAATGTGGGATAACAATAACCCAATAGGTTCAAAGGGTCACAAAGTGTGAGGTTTGAACAAATTGGATGATTTGGTATCACAAAATTTGGAAAAAGGGCGAAACTAAAATAAGTTAAAAATTAAAGATAAATAAGATAAAGTCATGCTATATCCAAAATATATATATATAATTTAATACAGTAAGCTGATGTTTCCAATAAGAAAAACTAATAAATTCACATATATGCATTCCCATAACAATAAAAAAAATACTCACCAGATACAGAAGGAAAAAAGGCGATAAATAATAGCTATAAAGGTGAAGCTAAAAATCACACAAAACTTTCTGTTCAACTAAACATTTATTTTTGTAAAACTACTTATTTTGATTATTGCGTAACAAACAAGCAATATGATTCCAACACATTTTGTGTTACAAAAAAAATATCTTTTAAAAGGAAATGGGTGACAAGAGAATTTAAAGAAACCAAAGGCGTCATGCAAAAAGTTAAATAGAAAGGAACGAGTAATTTAACCATTAAAATAAATATGAGAAGAAAACTTAAATTTGAGAGGGCTTTTAATGTTAAAGAAAATTAAAGGTATAAAATGTTGATTTCAAATTTACAGAAATTGATTATAGTTATGCATTTAATTTAAGATAAAGGCTAAGAAAATAATGTGAAAAGAAATCCCTCGATACGGACCGAAGTCCGCATCTCGGAGAGCTTTAAAAGGTTAACCTGCCCGAAGGCTCGAGAAAAAGAGAATGTCATTTAAAAAAAAACTTTAAAATTCCTTAACTAGGGTAGACCAGAAAAACTACGACCAATTAAAATTAAAGAGGCGGAGAGTTTGAAATTTAAAGGAAAGAGATTGGTTAGTTAGAAAGTTAAAAATAAAATTGCCAAATTGAAAAAAAAGGAATAACGTTTAAAGAAAAATTAAAGGCTTAGATAAATTAGATAATTAAATTGTCACATTACATTAAGTGTAAATGTGACACGTTGGATAACTGAATTTTGTAATTGTGTATAAAACTCTTTCGAGTCATAGCAAAATTCGTAAAGAGAGTCATTATAATAAACACTTTCTTAATAAACCAAATATGAACCTAATTTAATGAGACCTTATTTTCGATACGACTACTCCTCATAATGTGAGGGTCGAAAATCAGTTTTTGTCGAAAAAAAAGAATGTTTATTCAGAGAAAGTACATTTTTGAGTTCGATTTCATAACTTAAAATGTTGTCTTTTCTAGCTAATTGGCATATTCAACTATCGTTCTGAGCTCTCGAACCATTAAGATTGTGTCCGCGAAAATCCGATCATTACAGCAAAAGTTATTCAGGATGTACACTTTTTTTTTAAATTTTACCCGTGTACATTTCCCTCATACACACTGTTAAAATTTTCATTCTAAAATGATGGTAAAGTAACTGCCAGCATCTCATTAGATTTAAAGTTTACGGTAAAGATTTTTTTTCCTTTATGGTTTCGAAACCATTTACAAACTAGCAATTTTCAAAAACGTAATTTTTTCTTTTTTTAAAATTTATCTAAACATTGGAGCTTGCCTTTTCTTAAGGTAATGGTCATTAGAGAGTGCCGGACACTGGAAATTCTTCATGTGTTGAAGGGAATGGAGGGGTGTCAACACTAGGACTCGAACACCAGTTCTGCCGATGGACAGATAAGCTCGCTCGGCTGTGATATGTACACAGTTGCAAAGAACTAAGTAGCTTCATGAGGTGGTTCTAATGGTTGTGAAAAAATTCTAGTTGTTTAACCGTATGAGGTAAAAGCAGTTAATAAACAGTTTTTTCTCATGATTACTCTTTTGCGTATGGTTATTTGACTGTTTCGATTAAATATGGTAAAATAACCGTACAATAAATTGTTATTTAATCATTTTTCCGAGAAATTTCTAACTGTACATGTTTACAAATTTCTGGATAAAAATTCCTTCCCACGTGAAGAACGAGAAGCTGAAACAATCTGATGTATAAATTAAGAATTGTTCATGTCAACAAACAAATTGTTTTATAATATGTTTTAATTATTCTAATGCAGATTCAATAACAACAATCCTATTAACAATAATAATAATATCAGCTTTGTGGAGTTAGCTCTAAATTCTGTAACATATAATTGGGTTATTGTGACATATAATTGTTAAATTTCACGAAGTTGTGAAATTTAAAAAAAATTTTTTTTAGAAAGCGTAATTATTGCTTTGTTTTTTTTTTCTTCAAATTTTTCCATTGTGCGTCATTTATTTCGATTAAAAACTATTTACTTCAATAACGTAATGTTCGCTAAAAATTGGTTTTTTTAAAAGAATATAGTTTTAAATATTTTAATATGTGATCTGAGATTCTATCACTTAATTTGTCACTTCCTTGATATTTAAAAATAAATAAATATGTAGAGTTTTGTTAACGTAAGCTTAGGGAAAGGTTGCATTTGTTCGGTCAAACATCACATTTTCACTTTAAAGGTATAGGCAGACTGGTAATCTGAAAAACGAAGCGATTTTTTTGGCACATTACGTTGATAATATGTAGAATTTGCGGAAATAAGGAAGGAAACCTTGTAATATCACTTGAATTCAAATGTGTTTTATATCCTCATAGGACTGATTGGCGATAGAGTTCCCAGCAGTTGCAGCAAAATCTATTACGAGAAAGAGTTCTACTTGGAAAGTCCAGGATTTCCAAATTACTATACGAACGATTTAGATTGTCAGTTGGTTATCAGAAGATATAGGCCCTCTATTTGCAAAATGGACATTCGGTTTTTGGATTTTGACGTTGAACAAAGTCCCGGATGTGTCTATGACTTCCTCGAGTTGGATTCTGAACGGTTATGTGGTAGAATACTGGAGGACACTGTCAGTAAGCATGACTTTTCTTTATAAATAACACAACCCTTAACAGTGACATATGTTTCAGAAAAATGGAGAAAAATTTTTTTTGACTGTTTAATTTTGTTTTTTATATTACTATAAGAGTTAGAAAATGGTTTTTTTATTACAAAAATAAAATTTTAAGTGCAATAACTACTGTATTTATAATTTTTACAAGCATGTAAAAAGGTAATGGATGCACACACATCTTATTCAATGAGAGCAAATGAAACAAAATTTTGGAGCTAAATATAATATAACTAGTATAATATCATATAAAAACGCAACAATAGGATTTTGAAACATACATTTTACAAATCTTTTACAGTGTGGTATGCCCCCTCCCTCGACTGAAGTCGTAATGGATGAAAAACTAGGACCACTCATGCCCTCTATTAGGAAAATAGTGAATTAAAGTAGAAACGTTCTCTCCTACCCGAAGTCACAAGTAGTAGTTGCCCGAACAGGAAAGGGGTTAAAAAGTAATTAAAAACAGTTTCGAAATGAGCAGCAAGCAAAAGCAATTTCGGTGTGTCGTTGAAAAATCACATATTCTGCAAGTCAGCTTCCCTGAGCCGAGGTAGCTCAATCCAGCGAGCTGACCTAGGTTCATATCCCAAAGATAAACTTTCTCAATACAAATTCTGTTCTCATCGACCACAGTGTTGATATAAAATATCCTCAGTGGTCAGGGATCGATCAAGACAAATTCAGGCCCACAAAATTTCCGGCCTCCTAACAAAATATTTTGAAATTAAATTGCTGAAGGTAAGTCCTAACAATAAAAAGAATCTATGAAATTGTATAATTCAAAAGAAACAAAATTCTAAAAAAATTGAGAGCCAGACAATTGGAGATCATTTTTCCAAGATGAAGTTTACGCATCTAAATATTAAAGCAAAATATAAAATGCTGAGAAAATAGTTTGATGATCACAAACAAGTGAAATCAGTGATTTTTGCTAAAAGTCACTGGTTAGCTGAATTATTTTAAAAGCCTACAGCTTCACATCTACAGCTTCACATATTTGTTAAGCTTTTAGTTCTCATTGACACTATTCTTTTATAAGAGACTTTGCAAGTCTCGTTGCATTTGCTTGGTGTAAAAATTGCACCCATTAAAATTCAGCTGTACTTTGGAATTGGATAAGTGCAATATTTGATAAGTACACGAGTTTGGTTTATCCCATTATAAGGAAAATTTGAAATAAAAAAATGCCTTTTTAGAGAAAAACTGTTTCTTTCAGCATTTAAAAAAAAGGTAATATTTTGGACTCTTTACTAATTTTTCAGGCCCCCCAGAAAGCGTGGGTCTTAGGCCCGTGCCTACTGGGCCTAGGCGATAATCAGGCCCTGTCAGTGGTAGGTGGATCATGGGTTAAAATCCCATCCAGCTATTCCTCTTCATGCAACGTAATTGCGGGTTAGTTCTGTCAAAAAGTACTTCACGAAGACTAGTTTGCGAGAATCCAGGATCATCTGGAAATTGTGGCAAAATGTCTAGATTATTAGGAAAATTCTGGATGTGTTTATCCAGGATTTTCCTTATCATCTGGTTCCTTCCCAGTTTTCCTAAAACTATTTCGAAGAACTTTCTTTTACACTTCAGTTTTTTTTTTTATTCAATGCAGTAGTCTCGAGTTAGTTTTTATGAATTGTTTTGAAAAAAAGTTTTTTAATGAGCAGTTGTTAGTTTATATAAACTGTTTATTGTTTCTGCTTTTATCCAAGACAAGAACAAATTTATTACCGTCAACTGTGGTCATTTATGACTTTGGAGTTAACTTTGGCAACAAAAAAAATATGCGCTGTAACTAGATAACAGAGTGATTATATACTTAGTTACTGTAACTTATCGGCTGTTGCAATAAATATGCAATAATCTTTCTCTTCTGTCTAAATACAGCACATATAATTTTTTTTTCTAATTTTTTCGCAAATTCGTAAGTTAATTCAGTTGACGTAACTAAATTTTTACTTGTCCACAACTTGGGAAAACAGTAACAATAAACAGCTAATGTAGGCTACATATTACAAATTGAAAAAATTCAACGTTTCTTTTTCAAATAAAATCATGTTCTTTATAAAAAGGAAATCGATTGTAAGTGTTGTATCTAAACAAGAGAGCATGGCTGTATTTCATTATTGTAACATATTATCCACTTCATATAACTGTGATAATCGCCCTCCTTTGTCTCAATATACGCAATTCTTTCATTTGTTGGGCTGAATCTGATGCCCACAAAAGCCACACGTTAATCCAGTCAACTGTGCATCGTACTTTTTCATTCAGAATCTGAAAAGATTGTTCAACGTTGAAATTACTCAGAGTATCTGGAGCACTTGGAAAGTCATGAAAAATCATGGAGAGTCATGAATTTAGGAATTGAACAAAATTTGTCATGAAATGTCATGATTTTTTTTACAAAAAATAATGGCAAGTCATGGATTTAGGTCGCCAAAAAATCAAATTTTTAAAATGGAATTTATCCTCCCCCCCCCCCTCCAATTTAATGGTGTTCCGAACATCTAAATTTGTAACATGTTCTTTCAAAAAATGAAGGAAAGAACCTCATTTCCAGAGCGAATTCTCTTTTATACTTCTCTGATTTCAGAATTTTTGCTATTATTATTTTTTTTTTCAGTTTAAAATTCTAGCTGAAGCAAGTCAGTCATTGGCGAATTTTTTTTTACTCCGAAATGAGATCAGAAAAATCAGGAGTATTTCTTTCCTTTCCGATGAACAAGAAAAGTATCCTTAGAATGTAATTTTGCAGAAAAAAAAAAAGAAAAATTTTTATTTGCTTTTGTATTTTTTTCAGCTATTTTATGTAGAACAGTTTTGATTACACCTATCTTTTCAATGAATGTTATTATAATGCTTTTTTTAATGTATCGTTGTTTTCGTTGGAGAAAATAGTCACTTTGTTAAGACAGGAAAAATTCTTGAAATGAGTCCTGCAAAGTCATGACGTATTCGGAAAAGCTAAAATGTAGCAGATACAAACGTTCTGATTTATGTATTCAAGTCATCTAGCAAACAAAAGAGTGTAAAAAATAAACATTGATAACCATGAAAAGTTATTTAAACGCTAAATTTATTTTGGGTTATGGCAGAATTATTTTCCTTGTTTTTGAAAGCATCACTTTTCACAATTTTCAGAAACAACGGATTTTCTGTCGTACGAGAAAGTGTTGCGGTTCAAAACAGATTCCATCAATCCAAGACCTGGCTTCTTCTTATATGTGAGGCAACTGGACTGTGGTCATCCTCCACCCCTTCCATCTTCATGCGATGTCCACATCTGGGAGAGTGAAGCCCGCATCACGAGTCCCAACTATCCCCTCAACTACGAAAACAATCTCAGATGTGTCTACACTGTCCATCGCCTCGGGGACTACATTTGTCAGTTGAAAATCAATTTTCTGGATTTTAGATTGCAGAATGGTAGTCCCGGTTGCTACAACGACTACCTGGAAATGGATGGGGGGTGGAGAGCTTGTGGAGACAAATTCCAAGGAATATCACGTGAGTTTTGCTTTGCTAAATCCTATTCTTACTTCTGATATTTTCTTCCTATTCTTATATCTGACTATTGTTGTTTCTCTTACTAAAATTTCACACTTTTTGCGAAATGACGTATTCATTTTTTATGAATCTGTGAAAATAAGATCCTGTTTTTGCGGAGTGTTTTTCAAGGAATGAAAGACCGTTTTTCAAAGGAAAAGTATTGCTTCCATCATTATCCCGAGTGAATAACTTATTGAAAATATTTATGATCCCGAGTAAACTTGATGGGCGTTTATCACGTTTTTACTCTACCGGAAGCAAGAAATAATCTGCCGTGATTGGCAATTTCTAGTTTTGCTGTTTGTGGGAACGTACAATACGATGGTGGATGAATTTACGTAGAAAAAAAAAATTATAAAAAAATGGCATTCGAGAGTGAAAGTAATGCAGATAATTTTTCAGATGATGAAGATGTAAACATATACGAAGACTATTATCTAATTTTTTTTATTTGTCCGAGATAATGTGGGATAGTAAACGGATGGTAAATTAAATATTTTTTGCACATTAAAATGTCAGCTTAGTACTTATACATTATGTTTTGTTTTAGTTCCTCGCATTTATTAATAAAATAAAATAATATGTTTTCAAAAAAATTGTAAAGGGAGGCTGTTAATAGATCCATTTTTGTGATAAAATAATTTGTGGAGGGTGCTTTTTTAATATGAAATATTTTGCGAATGATTTTTCTGACAATTAGCATCAATTAATGCTCTTAAGAGGAAAAAGATTTAATAGCATTCTGTTTCCAACGTCATTGGTAATTTAAGATTCAGGTTAATCATGAAGTTATAAATGTTGAAAGAAAAATATTTCCAAAATATCAAAGAAATTACTACTTTCCACTCACTGCCCCTGATTTGCTAGCATTTTGATATTTTTAAACTAATTTCAGTATTTAAAACATTATGGTTTACCTGATTTTCTAAATTTTAGATTACTTATAGTATATATAATTGAAGAGATTCAATTCGTGACAAATAATTGAATTGAATAATTATTTGCCATGAATTGAATATCGTTAAGACACGGTTCCCAGTAGAGCACCGAAGTCAAGCATCACTGGCTGCGGTCTGTGTGCGGGTGGGTGACCATTTTGATCAGCTTGCGTAGGGACCGAGGGTACACGGTCCTAGTTAAACTGTTCTACCGTAAAGACTTCGCTCGTCGGGACGCCATCCCCTCTGCAGGGGATCAAAATTGAGAAGTCATCTTCAGGGATGTTTCCCAGACAGCCGTCAATAGCCCATTGTGTAGCTGTAGTGTGACGTAAATAAACTACTACCATGGAATATTCCTCCCGCGGCATGTCCTGATCACAAATTGTTTTATTCCTTTCAGGAACGCTCGATTTTCGAGTGCCGGAAAAAGTGCTGATTTTCAGCACCGACTCTTGGTTTACGCAGACTGGATTTTTACTTTCTGTGAGACAAGTGCCATGTTCTGGAGGAGAGGGGACGACATCCGGAAGATTGAATGGACCCACATGCGACAGAGAGTTCGAAGCACCCCTTTTTGATATGCGCAGCGAGCTCTACCCTCTCAGTTATCCACCCAATCTCAATTGCAGGTTTGACAGCAGTTCTCTTTTAGCAACATTCATTTTTTTTCTCCAAAGAAACAAAAAACGAATTAAATTGTCTCTTTTTTTCTTTCTTCAGGTACCTGGTGAGAAAAGTGTCGCAGTCAGTGTGCCAGCTTCGCATGACATTCACTCATTTCGATCTGGAAGCGAGTATAGCCTGTAGCCGAGACTATTTGATCATGGATGGAGAGAGATTGTGTGGTTCTTTACCACCGAACACTACACGTAAGTTGGTTTAAACACTTTTGTTATGGGTTTAAATGCTCAGTGTTGTGGGGTTATCAACCTCAAGATGGAATTGATTTCGATAGACTAGTAGTAATCATAGTTCCAACCACAATACTCCTCCAACAGAATTTTATAAGGGATTGAATTCGATGACCACTAGTTACTGTATTTGCGAAAAACGGGAAGAGCTGGATTAAGATCACCGTGTTTGTGAGCGTTTGTGGCGAGAGTTGTATTAAGTTCACGGTTGTGTGTGTGTGTGGTCAGCCCTGTGTTGCTATTAACAGTCGAGAGTGTGCAGCATCCCTTTGGGTGAAAATGAGAATGCGAAGCAACGACGCAGTCACAAATACCCAGATAGCGAAATAAGGTTTATTTTCACTGAACTAAAACCTTTTAATGTCAACCTAAAAATGTTTGTTATGTGGTTAACATGTAAACCACATAACCTTAAAACGAGATCTGTGGCAATCTGCTCTTTTCTACTCACATTACCCTCATCCAAAACCTTGGAGAACAACCTTCTGTATAAAAACCTTAAATCGTGGTTCACTTAGTGTTTTCAAGTGTGATAAAATCTTTTAATAAAGCTGTTCTCAAGATGAAAATAATCTTAAATTTAGGTAAGTTTTTTTTAGCAAAGTCTCAGCTTAAATCCACCTTGTCATGAAATGCTAAAACGTTATGATACTTCTATAATAATACTTCTTAAGAAAGTCCTCACACACTCCACATGAGTCACTCATGTTAAGTATCGAGTGCTAACCTATCCAGATTTAATCTTTTGTTTTATATACTAATATTTTGTTGTTCAATAATCGTAGTGGAAATTATGCAACAGTATTTCGACTTTCTCTGAATGTTTCTTTGCTGTAGTGTCTGAATTTTAAACTGCATCAAAATGCGTTCCTTACAATTGGAACACTAACAAGGGAAACTAGGGAAGTGTGACTCGCCAATTTTGAAATAAACTATTGGGATGTATGCCTTATGAGGAATAATTTTAGGGGGCAACATTCGTTTCGGCCCATAGAAGGCCCTGTGAGAGATAAAAAATAATTCAATGTATGGAAAAATCCGTATTTTATTACTTCAATGCAGACTATTAGTTATTGTAATTGTCTCATACTCCAACTAATTTGTAATTAATTAGATAATTAATTACTTTCACGTACTATATAATGCATATTTATTGTTGAAATTGATTTTGAAAATTTTATGTATCTGCAGTTTTTCAGAAAAACCTGTTAGGTTAATTTAAAAAAAAAATNCTAAAAGTGATATTGCATTTATCTATGTGTATCAGTAATTTACTTTCACTGAAATTTTACTGAAAAGTTATCTTTATTTATAAAGTACTGTCCTTTTTTTTAAAATTATCCTTATTTTTGTATGAAAGAAAGGGAGCAAATGGATTCAATTCTCTGAGTGTCAAAGAAAATGACTATTTTTCATTTCGTTCCAGGCACAATACGATTTGATACTCCGGAGAAGGTTTTCCTGTTTCACAGTGATATCCAGATTCAAGGATCAGGATTCGAAGCCATTGTTCAGCAAGTGGAATGTCCCGGGGGCTTACCACCCGATACTGCCACTGTCGTCCCTTCCACTGGAAGAGCACCGCCTTCCGATCTACCAAGTGAGAATTCACCTCAAATCTTATAAAATAAAATTGAAAAGCATTCATTCGCTCTCAAATTCTTATAAAGTTCAGTAATCGCCGAGGTTTAAAGCATCATCAATGGCTTGACAGCTCAGGGTGGGCCTTCTCAAGAAGCTTTTTCCTGCTTTCCTTTTTTTAAGACCAAAAGGTCTTTTTTTAGGCCATCTCAGCCAGCCTCCTTTTCGTTGAAAACTCTTTCAAAAATACTTTTCCAGACCTCATCCGTACACAACCATGTGTTAAAAAAGAGATTTATGTTCTTCTACATTAGATTTCACGTATTTTCGAATTCCATTAAAACGTCTATTGGCTATTCCTCTTGTTGATTACAGAACCCAAGTAAACGGTCAACAACCTTATTCTTCAATTTCTAAATTGGATGTTATTAGTACAGGTATATTTAGTTTTTCCCACGTTTATTCTCTTGAGAGCCTCTAAAGAAATAAAAGCCTGTCTTAGTAGTGCTATAGGTGTTCTAGCAATAATGTCATCAGCCCTCATAATGGTTTAAACCGGCGAAACAAAATCTTTTTTTAATTGCGTCACGAATTTTGTATTAAAAAAAAACTATTTATAGCCCACCGATGCAAGTAAAAATGAGTGAGAGTTTCACCCCAAGACTGTCATTACCCCCTTACTGCCTACTTGAGGGAACGCAACTCAGGTTGGAAACCTTAAAGTAGGCAAGATTCCCTCTTTTATTATAAAACTTTTTTTAGTTTGCCACTATGAAACTGTATAGAGCTAGTTAGTTAACATTTTAAATTAAAGATAGTCAATATTCTGTATTTCAACTTGGCCCTATATCTCTCCTTAATATTGAACCATACCAGAGGAAATAATTATAGGCTTAATAGGGTGCCCACAATGCGACCTTACAGGTTACTAGGTTTGCCTATATATTAGCGTTAAAGTGAGGGAAGTCTATATTCTGTATTACAACATGGCCTTTTATATTGACCCATACTATTCAAGACTTGTTTCATTTGGTCTATGTAGATATAGACTTGTTTTATTGGGGTTTAGAACAGGGGTTTTCAACTTACATGAGGCCGCAATTGAAAACACCAGTCAAATGGCGGGCCGCAACTTTATCAAAACTTTATATAGGACTCTTTTATGTTTGAAGGAACATTAAATATTATTGTCAGTTTTTTATCAAATTTTGCAAAACAAAAGTATTGAATTAAAAATTAAAATAAGAAGTAGACATTTTTACCTGAGAAATAAATTTTTTTGCACCTTTGGTATGTTAAATTTCACAGATATTAAGAAATTGTTTTTTTTTTCTAACGAAGAAAAGTTCTTTAAACCTATATAGATTTTTATGTAAATTGTCAGCAAAAAAAGGACAACTAATATACTTTAGTTCGATGGCCGGATGTGGCCCGCGAGCCGCCAGTTGGTTACCACTGGTCTAGAATGAGCGATGTTAAAAAAAAAGTTCTCTTTTTTGACTCTATGTGTTGAATTTTTTAATGTAGCAACTTCTGCTAGAAACTATGCAAATGAACTTTTATCCTTTAGGATGCAATTTTCACTATCCGGACATTCGGGCGACGATTAGTAGTCCTAACTACCCGAATCCTTATCCTAACATGGTCGAATGTCGGTATGCAGTACATCTTCAACCAGGATTCTGCAGTGTGGAATTCAATTTCATCGACTTCTCTCTAGAACCTCCGACACCAGGACTGCCTTGTACTAGAGATTTCCTTGACATTTCTGGAGTAAGGTATTGTGGACAACAACTAAAAGGAATCACAAGTAACTATTACAAAACTTTATCTGAAATTGCATCATTGCATTAAAGTATGCAAAAAAAATTCATATTTATATTATTAAATTATAAGTCTGAATATGAAATTTTTTTTTTGCAAATACTTTTATTATGACATTTAGTTTTTCACTAAGCAAATTTTTGTGGGGTTTAAAAGTGTTTTCACTAAGCCCTGCTATAAGTTTTGCTAAAAATTTTTTAGAAAGATGTCGTTTTTTACAAGACAATTTTTCTGCTATGAATGCAATTCTGTTTTAAGAGTAAAAGTTTCAATGTGCATGTTCGTTTTATGCAAATTTTTACATAGCATATATTTCTGATGAGATCCAGCGTAATTGCAATGCATTCTTCACAAAGCATTTTTTTAAATCTAATGCAGTCAAACCTCACTATAGTGAACACGGTTTATAGTGAGCTCCCGGATATAGACAACGAAATGGTATCGTGCCCCTGCCTTGCTACACACTTATAATGTTATTTTTTGTGGATATAGTGAACCAAAAAAGAGAGGAAGTAGAATAGTATGAACTTTTTTCTGCCTACGACTGATTTTCTTCATGTTTGAAATGTCTACTTCAAAATAAATACATATACCAATTTTTAAAACCCTGTATAACATGGAATGTAGCAGCAAGCATTTGTTTGCTTCATAAATTGAATTGGTTCAGCATTCAAAGAGGCTTCCAGTATCTGGAGAAATGCTTCAAGTCAAAGATGATGAATTTGCTAAGCGATTGGGTGAGACTACTTTTATGGCTGATGGTGAGACAAGTTTAAAAAGCGGAATAACATAAATTCAGGAAAAAATATCGGAGAGTCAAGAAATGCTTCCATATCTGATGTGGAGGATTGCTCATCAGCTAAAGATTAATATTTTTTTCTTGTACGCAAGACGATGTTGTAGTTGTAGTTCATTTAAGTCGCACTAGAATGGGCTATTGGCGACGGTCTGGGAAACATCCCTGAGGATGATCCGAAGACATGCCATCACCATTTTGATCCTCTGCGGAGGGGATGGCACCCCCGCTTCGGTAGCCCGACGACCTGCACGCGAAGTCGAGNTGAACTTTTTTCTGCCTTCGACTGATTTTCTTCATGTTTTTCGTTCTAATTTTGAAATGTCTACTTCAAAATAAATACCAATTTTTAAAACCATGTCTTATGCATGGAATGTAGCAGCAAGCATTTTTTTCTTGTTTCATAAATTGAATTGGTTCAGCATTCAAAGAAGCTTCCAGTATCTGGAGAAATGCTTCAAGTCAAAGAAAGATGAATTTGCTAAGCGATTGGGTGAGACTACTTTTATGGCTGATGGTGAGACAAAGTTTAAAAAGCGGATAAATTCAGGAAAAAATATCGGAGAGTCAAGAAATGTTTCCATATCTGATGTGGAGGATTGCTCATCAGCTAAAGATTAATATTTTTTTCTTGTACGCAAGACGATGTTGTAGTTGTAGTTCATTTACGTCGCACTAGAATGGGCTACTGGCGACGGGGTGGGAAACATCCCTGAGGATGATCCGAAGACATGCCATCACAATTTTGATCCTCTGCAGAGGGGATGGCACCCCCGCTTCGGTAGCCCGACGACCTGCACGCGAAGTCGAGCACGTACGCAAGACGAAGAGTCATAAAAAATAAAACACATTTTTTTGTTACTACGTATTATTTTCCAGTCATTTTTATATTTTATTTTATTCATACTTAAATAATGTGCAATAAAAGGGGGCGGAACTATAAGTTAAAATTGTTTGGTGAACGGTTATAGGGGTCATAATGAACCGACCCTTGAATGTTGACTATAGCGGGGTTTGACTGTAGCATTGTAACAGCTCACAGGAGAATGAATATTCAGTAACCTCTTTCGTTCATTTTTTTTTTTTTAAATTTATTGTAAATCTTAATTTTATGTTCATTCACTTTTAACCGAATGTTGATGCAAAATTAAACTTTATTTGAAAATTATACTGTGTAATTTTTACTTTAAATTTAAACTTTATTGTTGTTAATAGAAATAGAATCTCCTCTGGGATTATCGAAGGAATTAGTGATGACATTCATGAGTGATACTGTGGTCAACAATAAAGGATTTCTGGCATCCTTCCGTCAAGTATCCTGTTCCCAGTCACCACCTCCACCCCCACCACGAGGTATATTCTGCTGTGTCAATTTTTAACTTATTCAATTTTATTTTATATTTTTTGAGCGTCGTTGAGCGGCCGACCCAATTTTATGGGCTTACGATTACTCATGTTCCACTCCGTCATTTTTAGCCCAATCCAGAAGACGGGGGAACTCCTGTATCATCGAGTATTGGGAGAAATTTGTCTTCGTGGAAGACTTTTTGATGGAGCCAATCCGCATTTGCGTTACATGGAGAGGAAGACCTCCCACTGTTAGCCTGATGGCAGGGTAACTCTAACCCATGATCCATGTACCACTGAGGATATTTCACGTCAGCACTGCGGTCGGTGCAAGCCAGATGCGGAATTTGAATCGACTGGGATTGGAATGCGAACGCTCCATCTACTGAGCCATCGCGGCATATTCAGTTTAAAAAAAAAAACAGCAATTAAATTTCGAAAAATATTAGAAGAAGTAAAATAAAAAAAGTTATGATCGCCTTCTTACGATCACCCATCATTTGTCGTTTTCTTTCTGGATTGACTCCGTTAAACGCCCACAACATTACAAAAACTCTTTCAACTGATGTTTGTCGTCGGAATGGTTTTTAAATCCTGCCTTTTAAGACGTCCTTCATTCATATTTATATTGAAATCACTGTCAAGCTAGTTACGGTTATAATAAAAGGAATGCAAAACTACTTTAAATTATTCTGATGTAAATACATTACGAATGACTGCTGGTGAAATTAAAACGAAAAACAGGGGTTGCCATAGCAACGCATGCAGTGACGACGCATGTACACTGTTCACTCTTACTCTTGAGCACAGTTGAAAAGTGCGTGTACACCATCAAATCCAATCCAATACCCATTTTGCAAATGGGTAAAAGTTAAAAAACAAGTTCCTAATTTCCAAAAACTCCAGCTGCGTAGTTACAAACTCAGTTATTCAATTCCATTATTTCATTCAAGAAAAAGTGTATAAAAACTGTTTATTAAGCTGGCAAATTTTCAACGTTTATTTCTTCTCATAATTTTCATCTACTTCATATGTGTTAATTTTAATATCTGACAATGTTAGAATCGCAGACATATTTGAATTTATGAGGATTGTGTTGTAGTTTGACCATGATTACAGCTTATATTTATTACACACCGTCTTAGCTTTCATGCACATATTCATTTATTACAGAAAGCTATAGTCTAAAAAAATAACAACCTTTTCGTTCAAAAAATATTGAAAATTGCGAAATGGCTCCCTGAATGGAGCATTAGAATATATATATACAGGGTCATTCATTATTCCCTCCGGGGTTTAGCAGCGTTATAGTAAAAAAATAAAGACGAATATGGCAAAAAAGAACATATGAAATTATTCCGAAAATATCCGAAGTTTTAATTTAATCAGTTGCCGGTAGAAGCCAGTTGTAGTAAAGAAAAATGGCGTTTACAGGCGGAGGGAATATCGGTCAAAAGTTGCGTTGCAAAGATATAAACATTTATTCAAAATATTCCTTCTAAAATAGTCCGACTTGTTATTCTACATTACAAATAGAAAATCTAACTTTGTCTCTATTGTGCGAGAACTCCTCCAGATTAAAAGTCTGGGGCTGCCATGGTTACAAGCTAGAGCACATTTCTAATGGAGGTGCAATGAAGGCGTCGAATGGTTTTCAAGATCCAAGAATACTTCCTATTCGAAATGACTTATCTGCGCTCCTGGAAAATCATGAAGAATCATGGAAAGTCATGGATTTCGGTATTGAACAAAATTTGTCATGATTTTAACGATTTTTTTAAGAAAAATCATGGAAAGTCATGAACTTAAGTCGCCGAAAAATGTAATTTTTAAAATGGAATCCCCCTTCCCCAATTTCATGGTGTCCCGATTATCTGATTTTGTAACAGAACCCCCACTCACAGTCATATTTATTAACATATGAAATGTTTTCATCTTGTTCTTTAAAAATTTTCTTTCAAAAAATTAGGGAAAGAACATCATTTCTAGAGCAAATTATCTTTCAAACACACACGACATGTCTGTGGTTTCAGAATTTTGTTATTATTTATTTTTTTTATCAGTTTAAAATTCTAGATAAAGCAAGTCAGTCATTAGCAAATTTTTTTTTAATTCCGAAATTAGAACAGAAAAAATCAGGAGTATTTCTTTTCTTTCTGATGGACAAGAAAAGTATCTTGAGAATATAATTCTGCAGAAAAAAAAGAAAGAAAATTTGCTTTCGTATTTTGTTCAGCCATTTTATGGCTTCAACTCTTTCTTTACTCTGTTTTTTTTTAAAATCTATAAATATGAAGATGCAGTGTATAGCAGTTTTGGTTATACCTATCATTTCAATGAATGGTATTAAAATGCTTTTTTAAATTTAGTGTTGTGTTTTTGTTGGAGAAAATTCGTCAAGTCATGAAAACATTCTTGGAATGAGTCATGGATCTTCAAATTGCATCGTTATTTTTACAGGTGCTACTCCTCCTGCATTGACACCCGGTGATCCTACTTGCGGTGGTCACTTAACTGGACCTTTCTTTGACATTCGGTGGCCAACGGTGACAGACTATGGCCAGACAATCGAATGCGTCCACACTGTTCATCGACTGGGATCTGATACGTGTAACTTGAGGGTGACTTTTGTGACTTTTGATCAGGGTGACGCCAGGGATTGCCCGAGACAATTTGTACAGATCGGTGATCATACGCTTTGTGGAAAACTACCGGCATATACAGTCAGTGAGTAATTTCATGCATTTCCGTGCAACCATTTTATATACGATTATGGAAAGTTCTGTTTATTGTTTATTCAAAATATAGAGAGAGAGTTTAGATAAACCATAAAAAATGCCTAAAATGCGCTTTTGATATTTTGAAAACATATTTTCAACACTTCATGAATTCATCTTTAAATTTTAAGTTAACAACAGAGGTGAAACAGAATAAGGGTGCATTAAATTGAGAAATTTTGTTTAGACAGGAATATGAATGCACTTTTTCAATTAAAATCCTGTTTTGCACTTCGAAGCTGTTCTAAGGGCAAAAGTAATTTTGTAACACTGAAAAAATTCAATAAAAGACGTGCTGTTTACAAATTTGGAACTAAATAATAATTTGAATCACTTGGTTCGAATCACTGATCTGAAACACTTGATTCTCACAACTAATCCGAATATTCCATTTTTCGAGTAGTGATTTCAATCCCTTCATTCGAATCATTGATCTGAATAAAAATAATTTCTATCAGTTATCTGTTCTGAATCGTTGATTTAAAGGACTGTTCTGAATCACTTGATGGGAACAGTGATTTGAATCATTTCATTGGAATTACTATTTTCGAATCACACGGTTTGAATCAGTGATCTGAATCAAATGATTCGAACCAGTGAACCGAATCATTTGGTCCGAAATACTCTGATGACACTCAGTAATTTGAATCACTTGATTCTGATCACTGGTCTCATTGCTTGATGCGAATGAACGATCGGAATCATTTGATTCTAACAGTGATATAAATCACTTGATTTGAACCACTGATCCGAATCGCATCATTTGAATGAGTGATCTGAATCACATGGTTCAAATCAGTGAATCCAATTACTTGATTCGAATCACTTAAATCCAATCAGTGATCTGATTTTCTTGATCTCAATCAGTGATCCGAATTGCTTGATTCAAATTATTGATCCGAATCTCGTGATTTGAATCACTGGTTTGAATCACTTGTTTCGCATCAGTAATGATCATGAAATTTATGACTCCACAATTTCGTGACCAATAGCATGATGGTGGCAGCGTGGGCGTTCCATGGAGAAGTAAACAACGAAAGCCTGCCTGTGTCATTTCCTTAAGAGGTGAGCGCATTAACTCCCAAGTCAATGAAATTATTTCTAAGCTATTATTGACGCTAAGGAGAGCTTTAACTAATTGTGTATTTATGTGTTACCTTGAATGATCGAATTTAAGAGAATGTCGACCGGTGAATGTCAACAATCACATAGTCGCTTTGGTGATTATTTCTACATCCGTTTGATGTTTATTTATTCGTTGATATTATTCTATTTATTCGATATATTTGCTGAGGATAGATTAGGCAAAACATCGGAGTACCGGTTAAGTGCATACTGGATTTAAAAAAAACATTGATATAGGGCATACCGGGCAATGACACTTCACTAGACCTAGTATATATTTCGGATATTTACCAAAGCAGTTGAAGTCCACCCATTTCTGTCAGTCACAGTAATGTAATTTCTCTAACGAAATGTATAAAAGTATGTTTCATACTTTCAGAACACTTTATTTTAAAATAATGTTCCTGCAAAACTAGACTAGCAATCGAGCCCCATTGCGAAAGAAATTCCGACGGTTAGTGAATGTGAAGAGCAAGGTCTAATCTTTTATATATATATATTCAGAAATATCGCATTTATAGCAATATATGTGTCTTGATAACGACTATTTGCTTTTACCATTCTTATTTCTCTACAATTTAGTTTTTTATTTTAAAAAAGAAAAGAAAAAATAATAATGATAAAAATCCGGGGGAAAAATATTTAAAAAAAAAGGAAAGAAATTCATAAAATCTAGAAAATAAATGAATATTATCTATTCATCAGCTCACACGATTATATCCGCAAAAAGAATAATATACACGCTCCTTTTTACGGATATAATCGTGTGAGCTGATGAATAGATTATATCTTTTATTTTCCATATTTCAAGAATTTTTTTTCCTTTCTTTCGAAAAAGAATTTTTCTCGGATTTTTAATATTATTTCTTCTCTTTTTTTATTGTTCTGTAATTTTTCAATATTTTCTCTTCATTTTGAACTTGTTTTATGAGTTCTATTTACTTGCAGCTTTACTTGCACAGTAAATGAAACTTATTGTTTTTCTTAACTTTTTTCCTTTTTGTATTTATTTATTATGCTATATATCTGAATGAAATTGAATCGACAGGAGATTATGACTTTTTGGATTACACTCTGATAATCAGGATAACGTCAGCTCAATTACCCCGTCCCAGAATTCACCTACAAGTTCAGCAGTTGCCATGTGGAGCTCACAATCCTCCATCCCGCCTCCCTCCACCCACTTGTGACGAAACATTTCAAGGACCTGGATTCGAACTGCGAAGTCCTTATTATCCTCATGGTATAACATCCAGTGTGGACTGCAGGTAACTCTCTTTTAATAACTGGTTGATTTCTACAAATAATATTATATACTCTAAAACTTTTGAACAGAATATAACATTGTTACATTTCAAATCATCAGTTATCTATTTCTCAAATACGATTACAGTGACAAAATTTCAAATTTTTTCAATAAATTTGAAATTTCCTATATATATTTACTACATTTATTTTTTACGGAAATACATTATATAAATTTACTATATATATTTTTTACGGAAATACATTATATAAATTTACTATATATATTTTTTACGGAAATGTAATCTTCATTTTAAAAGGTCCGATATTTGTGCTTGGAAGAGAGGTGTAGAAAATAGTATTTTTCAAATTTTAAAATGTTACAGTTCTAATAAAAAAGTTCTAAAAAGAAGCACATTGCTCTTCCACTCCCGATGGCAAAGATTCTTCAGCACGTCAGCGAGTGCTGCACATCATCCGCTGATTGTTTTTCATCTGAAACAAAGACAAGCCTGATTGAAAGAGAAAAATCATTTTTAATTCCTAAACTTTCAGCAAAACTTAAAGTTTAGGAATTAAAAATGATTTTTAATTCCTAAATCAGCAGACCTGAATCAGCAGCCAATCAGCAGATATCAACGAAAAGAGATGACTTTCTAAATAATGGACTTCAGTTCACAAACATTTAAATGACACGAAAAAAATAAATTCTTCTTTTCCGGAGTTGCCTTTTCTAGACTGTACAGGGACTTAATCCATTTTCTTTAACTTTCAGTTAAAAATGTTCAACTATTTTAATTTACTTTTTAACGACATTTCTTAGTGCATCGTTGTTTTCTACCTTATCTGTGCTCATTTTGCTGTATATGAAGCCTATTTTGACAGCAAACAAATTCTGTTGCAGATACATAGTGAGAAAGTCCTCCCCTTTCATTTGCCACCTTGAATTAACATTTGAGAGATTTCAATTACCTGAGAGTAGACAATGCTATGGAAATCACCTGAGAATTGACACAGAGAGGTTATGCGGAAGCTCCATATTACCCTATTCTGTCCGTGAGTATTTCTCTCAATTTCCTTTTAGTCATTTTCAGGAAATATCGCTTATAATTCGTGCTTCCTTAATAGGGATGGTGTTCTCTACACCGCCTATACTTCCGGGTTTCCCGTGTCCTGGGAAGGCTCACACATTGTGTTTTGAGACTCTCTTTAATATTTCTTGTATACGTGTATTTGTTACCTGGTTTATATTATTTGGGTTTAAAACAGAATCTCTATAAGAATTGTCATATGAAGAAAAGAATGGTTATAAAAACACTTCTTACCTTGTCAACATTATACCAACTTGAAGATTTAAACCTAAATGATCATTTGTAAAATGAACCCGCTATTCGAACAATTGGATAAATCTAGCCTTATGATGGTGCACGGCTTGTCATAAGAATAAACAGTCATTGTAAAAAGAGGCCAAATCGGGACTGCCAAAAAAGCGAGAAGCTGTCACCCTTTTTTAACGATACGCCTGTAAATAACTAAAACAAATGTTCACCACAATGACTTAATATCCTATGAAATACATCAGCTCAGAAGTGTTTATTATTAAAAATGAAATTATATGTTTGAAAATATCGCCTCGCAGAATAAGCTGTGTTGTAGCCGGTCGAGACATTTATATTAAGAACACCATCCATATATTCTCTAAGTAATCCTCGGGCAATTATTTCGGTGATATTTTTGTTGCATTAGTTAAATTCTTATAGGTTAATAAGATTCTTGACAATCTAGTATTGAAAGGACGGGATAGCCTGGTCGGCATGTCCAAGAGTTCGATCTCCACCGGCCGAAGACGACTCTCCGTGTAGTAAATGGTGTCTGATGCACGTCGAGTCTCAAAGTCCTCCATGTTCCCGTAACAAATCAATACCACTGGGATCCAAGAGTTTCCTTGTCTTTTGGTTTGGGTTCAAAATTGCGGAGTTGAACATGAGTAGTCGTAAACCCAAAATTGGGTTCAACGACGGAAGGTTTTAAACCCCTATTCTATCGATTCCTATAGAGCAGTGTTTCCCAAAGAGTTTAGCGGGCATTCTTATGCGAAATATCTCGCAACAAACGAAAATTTCAAAACATTTTATTTAAAAACAACCATGAAAATTTAAGTTGACATATTTTTCTATTGGCCATTTTTTGCAGAGTTATTAATGAGTGGTGTCAACAGCCAGTTTTTGCGCAATTTTGTTTCCAGTGAAAAATACATTCATTCTTTTATGAGTGGTGAACAGCGTTACGGAAAGTTTAGAAAAGGGTGCACAAAAGTCTGGGAAACAATGCTATAGAACAACCGATTCATTTCAATCAGAAAAAAAGTTTTTTTTTTTTTTTAACCATTCTATCCTCTTGATGATAAATGTAAAACCTTTCAATAATCGTTCATATAATCTGTTTCTTTTCAAATGATATCACTTTTCTCCGGTTTATTTCCAAGTTAGAACCACCTTTTGAACCCGAAAATTATTTAGTTTGCATAACATAAAAAGATTTTCCGCCATTGTTATCCAAGTGAAAATTATAATTATCAGATTTAGGGACGGCATCTTTTATTTTCAGGAATGTACGATTTTCAGACGTCGGAAAAATTAATCCACTTCAGTGCTGACCACATTCTTCCCGGAACCGGTTTCTTAATCCGAGGACGTCAAGTTCCCTGCACTTCCTCTCTTCTGACCTCCAGTGGTGGAAATACTGACCGTAAGTAATCAATCATCTGATGATGAATCATTATTTTTACACTCCATTTCATAGTGTTACTTTTTTTAAAGATTGGCAATTTATCCCTACTGTTTTAATAAAACTGAGATGGGCACGGAAGGCCTTGGCCCTCTGTGGGCTGTCGCGCCACTGAGCTTAGTTTAGTTTGGATAAAATATGTGTGTTCACTACACTATTGAGGAGGGGGGCTCTTATTTTTAATTCACAAACATATTTCATTTAATAAATTCATTTTATAATATTTGATTCATTCTAATAAAAGGAAGAATCGTATTTTTTCAAACGTTACTTAATAAGCCGACTAATTTCAATCCCATCACACTTTGATCCTCTTATAATGAACTCTTTAAAAAAAGGGTCAGGAGCTTTCCAATGAGGTGAACCGAGTTCGAATCCCAGCGAGGGTGGGTCGATGCGAATTTTGCATCCGGCTTGCACCGACCACTGCGCTGAAGTGAAATATCCTCAGTGGTAGACGGAGTATCATGAATTAGAGGACCCCTTGTCGTCAGGCTAACCGTGTGAGGTTTTCGTGGTTTTTCTCTCCATGTAAAGCAAATGCGGGTTAGTTCCATCAAAAAAGGGGTTCACGAGGGAAAGTTTCTCCCAATACTTAATTCAGGTGTTCCCTCGTCTTCTGGATCAGGGTTTAAAATGATAAGGCTACGGAGTTGATCATGAGTTGTCGGCTGTTATAAAATGAAATCTAATAATAATATTAACTTTAAAACTTCTTTCATTCTCGGTAACATTATAGGCTAAACTATGTGTCGATGAGCTTAGAATAACATTTTATGTATTTCTCAAATAACTTTTTTGTTTTTTTCTTCTTTTTAATAGAATCTTAAGTTCTTTTTAAGATAAAGGCAGTTTTCATAAAATATTTTGTGAAATTTGTATAAACAAGCATCTAACGTGACAGTCGGTGCTGACGAGAATCTCTCTAACAAAATAACTATTTTTTAGCAAAAAGTGCTCGCGGGTGCTCTTCTTCAAATAAAAACAAATTCTTTACAGATCCCATGTGTTTTGATCCTGTAGTCATTTAAGTACTGTTGAAATTCTTATTTTAATAACAACTCAAGGCAGTGTTGCCAGACTTTGAAATCAAAAAATACTACAACTTTATCTGAAAAAATACTACAAAATACTACAAATTTTTAAGCGCCATCTACAGAAGTAATTTGGAAGTTGAAATTATATTAGAAGGATAAAATACTATTAAAGGAATAACAATACTATTAAAAGGATAAAATAAAAGGATATATTGCTAAGAATAAAAGAACTTTAAGATGTAAAAACATTTATCTTTTCCCTTTTATGCACTTATAGTTCAAGTAAACGCGCAGTAGCAAAGATTTAAATGAGCAACTTTGTCTTAAAATAATTGTGCGTATCATAAATGATTTATAAAAAATTTTTAGAAAATTGAACTTAAATGAGAGAAAAAAACGTATTTTATTTCATATCATACATACGTAATTTATCTCCACAACGTAAAATCTGTTTTAATAATGTGTGTTGGTTGCACAAAAAGCAAGTTAGTTGCAATTAATAAACTTCTTACAATCATCACTAGATAGAGTATAAGACGAACTGTAAGCGTCTGATTTTCATGGCTATTTAAAAACTAGAGAGTGGCTCTTCTTTGATTTAAAAATTGATCAAAGAAAACATACCACTTTTTTAAAAACGAAAAATACCTGGTGAAAAAAATACTAGGTGGTATGGCGACCAAGGTTGCTAACCAGTATGGTGTTTTGATCCTGCATCAATTCTGGAGAAATTCTTATTTTAACAACAGCTCAAGTTTGCCAACCAAAATTTGGTCAATAATCCTTGTTCTCTTTTTCAGAACTCCCTTCCCCATCCTCCGCTGTTCGTTGTGACCAAAGTTTTGGACTGGATGAATTCACCATTTATAGTCCAGGTCACCCACTCCACTATCCGACAGACACCCACTGCCGATACGTCATCATCAGGTCAAACTCAGAGGTGTGCGGACTGGAAGTGACCTTTGTAACATTCGACCTGGAAGACTATTACCAATGTCAGAGAGATTACTTGGATATAGATGGGGAGAGATTATGTGGATTGCTGCCACCTCAATCCATTCGTAAGTATCTCATCTCAACATCTAAAAATTACAATTTAATAAGATTATTCGTCTGTGCCACATCTAGATGGCGCCACGTGCGACTTTAAAAAAAACGAAACAATTGAAGGCGGTATTAAGAAAGGTTTGGTGTGAATTACTATTATTTCTTTATTTTATTATTATTATTTTTGTTTGTGTTGTATGGCAAAGACATGTGTTATAATAGAGTATTTTCAGCCACTGAAGAATTTTAATGTGAAATCATTCTCATATAATGGAAATCTACGAAAAGTACCTGCAAACGTTATGACGTCTAAAAAATGTAATTTTTCCTGTTTTTTTTTTAAACTTGAAAATTGATTAAAAAATAAAACTACAGATTTTCCAAAGAAGTGATCCTTAAAACAGTCGTTATGTCAGATAAACTCAATGATCAACGCTTCTAACTTGTGATGCTTTGAATAGGATATAGTAAAACTAAATGCTATAGTGAACGAAATGTTCGTGCCTTGCTTATACACATCTTATTTTTTGGTGGATAACCAAAAGAAGAGAGTATCTTCCACTGATTCTTTTCCATGATTTTTGAAAATACACAACATAAAATACCGATTTTAAAAACCATATATTGAGTGAAATGCAGCATTGTTTGTTTCGATCTCACTTTTCCAGACCTTAATTAAAGGCCAGACCTAATTTTTTTTGTACGCAAGACGAAGAGTTATAAAAAATATAAGTTAACACATTTTTTTATTTATTACATATTGTTTTTTAATCATTTTTTTATTTCCTTTTATTGGTTATTTATTTAAATAAAAGAAACAGTTCTGAAAAATGGGTTAAAATTGTTTGCAGTACCGATATAGTGAACTCCCGGTTATAGTGAACTGAAATTTCGGTCCCTTGAAGGTTCACTATACAGGAGTTTGACTGTATATTAAAAATCAATGGTATATTTGGAAGAAAGGAATAAGTTGTGTACCTAAAAACTAGAATAATGGAGCGATAGTTCTTTTAAGAGAAGAAAAAAAAATCATTAAATTTATGAAACAAAAAGTAAGTAGAGTACTTATTCGTGTAGGGGAACGGTACTATGAGAAGCGCCCATGATGTCTGGTAATAATTACTCAATAAAGTAAAAAAACAACTTATGTACTAAAAAGCAAAACTAACGAAAAATGATGAAATTCGTCTAGTAGAACGTAAAAAAAAAAGTTAAATTATTATTGGCAAGTCAAAGATGTTCAATTAATTTTGGTGAATTGAAGCAAAATAAAAACTAATAACTTACTAATTGTTGCAAAATAATATGAAAATTATTAAAGAAGTGATATTGCTTCATTCATTTTGTGAATCGGCACTTTTGGTACTATGGAAATGGGTGCAGTTTAATGGGTACCAAATATACTAATATAGGTACCATTAATATATTTGATATCTATTCAAACTGCATCAAAGCAAGAGTATAGAGGAGTAATCAAGGGAAAGGATGAAAAAATAATAATAAATAAATAAAAGGGAATTATTTTAGCTTTATGAATTGTGTTGGTACTAGTCTGTCAGTTTTGTGCGTGATTTAGTTGTGTTGTTTAGTTTTTTATTTCACCCCATGGGATGCCTGCAAGTGACGTAGTGCGGTCCTGATGGGCTGTTGAAACGTGGCATTTGTTAGCAACTGTTCTTTCCACTCTATTTCGAGTAAGCCGAGCCCCATCCTGTGTCGAAGTGACACATTCTAAATTCTTTCACGGAGATTCTTTCTCAAATATTTCATGGAGACTTAACACAAAGATAGGCATGTGGAAAACTCATTATGCATCGATATGAGCAACAAAAATATATCACGGTTACAATAAAATAGTAAATCTAAGTGAAGTAAAAGAAGGAGACAACTCATTTAATTAACTTATCGTTTATCAACTCATGTAGCTGAAGCAGCACCATTTTGTCTATTATCTGACGTCACGTGTGTGGGTACAGGAGGTCTTCTTCTTCTTTACCCCATTGGCTTTCTACTAGCACTGGTTAAATTGAAGGCTTTACAATTTTGTGACCAGACGATAAAAATGTGAACAGTTTTGAATCTCAAGTGATCGATTAGAATTCCGACGATAGGACTGACTTCCTTAGTGATATCCTAAGTGATAAACGAATTAAAATTTTCTTGTCCTGTGACTAACCATGAGAGTTTTTCCATCTCCATGTAACTCAAACGTGGGTTAATTCCATTGAAGTCCTCCAGGAAAGCTTGTTTGTCCTATTGCTCGATCCAGCTTGTTTTCAGGGTTGGTACAAGACTGCGGAGTTGAACCTTGATAATCCCAAGTTTAAAAATGGGTCAGTAGTTCGACGCAGGTTATAAAATAGTCAGAATGGCGCGCCTACCGCATTAACTTTTCAATCTAGCTGGTACTCATAGATTTGAAACTGGTTTTCCTCCACCAATGATTCCCAATGACAGCGTTTCTCAACGCATAAATTTTTTTTCCAATTATTTGAACCTCATTACTGCGAAATGGATGCATGAATGGGTGTGGCAGACATCGAATTCTCAACCATAGATGGCGCCACTGCAAAACGAGAACAATCTCACCACTTGCCTTAATGGACAACAACAACAAAGCCTTGATTTTTGAAAATCGGGTTGCAGTATATTTGTAATGGGTTATAATATGTTGTTTCAAAATATTTATAAATTAAGGGTTGATTCTTTCTTTTCTCTCAGGAAACTATGTGTTCCATCCGGCTGATCGAACAAAAGTAATCATCTTCCATTCTGATCACGCAACCACAAAACAAGGGTTCATCCTGAGGGTACGACAAAACAGAATCTGTCCACCTTCAGTTCCTTCACTTCTTCCCGTATCTCCAGGTATGATGGTCGTCGGCCATATTATTAGATTCTATGTAAAATCATACTATACAGCTTTATTGTTTCTACGACACTTGCTTACGTTACTCTATCAATGAGACGATATATAATATGAATTTGACGATTGAACTAATTCGACGATATATTTTATAATTATGGAATATTTATTATATCAGGTATTATATTGTAATAATTATGACACGTGTTTTAAAAATGACATGATTTGCACGTGTTTATAGGCAATACTTTCACATTTAAACATACGTGCAATGGATTTTATTCAGGAGATTTTATTTGTATTTATTTTTAACGTATTGCATGCCTCCGTGTTGTGATGTCATCAAGGTAGATGTTGTAAAAAGACGAAAGAGGGAATGCTCTGATGGAGAGAATTGTTTAGGTGGATTGGTTATATTAACTTTCTTCATCTTTTACCATTGTTAATAAATATTTTCTTTTGTGTTGTAAACTGGTTACCATTTTTTTGACAAATTGTGTTTTTGGGAAGCATCTGAGTGAAGAAGGGAAAAGAAGGAAAAAATTTAAGTAATATCACAACAACGTTAACCCATTGATACACGAACGTAAACAAGTGAAAACCGGTTTCAGCCTCGTAAAAACAATAAAGATGTATAATAAAAAAAACAATAAAGCCACCTGATAGTTAAGATTTTACATGGGACTAGAGTTAGAGGGGATATTTAAAAAAATTGAAGTAAAGGCATTTAAGAAATAATGCTTATTTTTTGTATAAATTAAACTCAACTGTTGATTCTTTCAGCATCATCACGAACGAGTGGCTCACCTTCTACGCCTTCATCCGGGTGCGAATCTACCTTCTTCTCCGCCCCACGGGGCATGATTAGATCTCCACGATTTCCTGGAGGTTACCCATCCCTTCACTGCATCTACACATTTGTGCAACTGAGGGGATTCTGCAGTCTGCAAGTTACTTTTAGAGATTTTGATCTACTGCCCGGAACAAATTGCATCATAGATTACTTGGAAATCGAAGGAAGGCGTTATTGCGATGGACAGTTATTCCAAATAAACCGTAAGTTATAGTAAAGTTATAGTAGAAGTAGTAGCAAATCGCAAGTCAAGTTATAATATAGTTATAGTGTTATAGGTATAGTGTAGAATATTATAGTAACTGTTAGCACCAAAATTAGCTTTCTGCAAAAATTGGAACTGTATGTTGAATACGCACAGTGTGTATGTATGGGTATGTATGTATGTCAGAATGCATGTGTTGAGTATGTGCAATATTTCTTATTATATGGGGCTTTGTATGCTTAGCTTTAGGCAACCTGTATTTCCTTTCCTGTATTTTAAGCACACAAAAAATTTATTGCAGGTGAAATACCGTTTCCGTGGAATGATTCTTCCACCATAGCCATTATGTTCCATTCTGACCGGGGCAGTTTTGTCCACAGAGGTTTCCACATAGATTTCGAACAAGTACCATGCAGGAGGCAAGGTCGAAACCACAGAGAGGAAGTGGAACCACTCAGTAACTCCACTGTACGGTACACGTCGTCCCCTTCATCAGAATGGACGTCGTCCTTCGACGGAGAATGGGACGACACGAAGACAACTCCACGGAATGCATCCACTGTCGAATACACAACATAAAAGACCCCCAATCCGAGAGCCTTGTCTTCCTGAAGTTATCACACACTTCATGAAAGGGTATTTGTGAAACACCTGACTCAGTTACTGAAATGTGTTTGGATTCGGCTTTTAGAGAAAGATCTCGTTTATTATTATAAAGATCTGTCTTATTGAATGCGCTGTACCTTGGGACAATGCGAAAACTCGTTGATGACTAAACAACATTTTTGATTGTTGGACAACAATGGCTTGACTGCAAGCTGTGCATGGATCGATTCAATAATTAAATGGTGACATTGTTGATTAAAAAATTGATTGATTCGAAGCATCATTGTTACAATCATTGTTAGCAATGTAACATGTTTGCTATGAATGACTGCAAACATTACGAATTGTGATTGCGCTGTGAATTATCTGTGAACTCGTGGAATGATGCCGTTCAGAACCTTTCTGGTTGAATTTCTGTTTTGGTAAACTGTGCTTTCGTTTAAATTGGAGTGGATTAAGAAATGTTAATGTATTTTACGATGTTCAAGTTTAGAAGTCGTTGAGGGGTCATCAAACATGTGGCAGTTATCCGATTACAGAACGTATTCGTAATACAAGACAAATTGAATAAAAAAAGCCGAGGCAAAAAGAAATAGTTGCAAACCTGGTACAAATGGTTCACGATTGAGTACCGAACTGTGTTTCATCTATGAAGGAAAGAATGTGTGTACATAACAATGAACAATGTTGTAATGCTTGTTTTGTTGCTGTACGACCAAAATCTTCGGCACGTAATGTGTGTATCGCAATTGCTTACAAGACCTGGTCAAATTATTAGACGCTCTATAAGATTCTTTGAGGGTGATACAGCTTTATTGTAAACCGGTTTGCACTTGTTTACGTTCTTGTACCAATGGGTTAAATGATATAAATTTGACGATTGGATGACGAAATATTACATAAACATAGAATATTTATTATATCTTTATAGTGTAACAATTAGATCAAATTATGAGAGGCACTGTAATTAATGCCATGTTTTGCACTAGTTTAATAGGCTGTACTTTTATGTTTAGACTGTCATTTGTTTTTATTCAGGAGATATTTTACACAATTTGTATTAATTTTTAACGTAATGCATTACAATGTTAACCCATTAATATACGACCGTAAACAAGTGCAAACCGGTTTAAAACAATACAGCTGTATAGAGTATCACCTGAGTTATTAAGATTTTATATAGAATCTTATAGTGCCTCTAATAATATGGCCAAGTTTAAACATGAAATGCAGGTTTTTGATTATATAAAACAAAAGAAATAGTGGAAATAGATGGTTTTGTCGAATACTACCATGAAGTACTCTCAGTACTGGACCCTCCAGTTTGTCAACAACAAAGAAACATGTAACTTTTTTGTCCTTGTACTGTTTTTAAGTAGTTGTTAAGTAAATGTTATATTTAAGTTTTGATCAGTTATGTAATCGAAGTAAATGTCTCTTTGCAATCTCAACGTTGTGTGGTGTTTGAAGTGATTCTCGCTCTTAAAATTGTTTAGGTTTTATGTGAAAAAAGTTGCGTGTTTTTCAAAAACTCACTCAATATGTTTTTAGAAAATTGCTTTTTGAACATAATTTTAACCACTTTTTCAATGAACTTCTTATTGTCCGTTTTCTTCATTTTAGAATTCAAGAAAAAAAAAAACTGACCTGATACACTCAAAAAAATTTTCTCATAATCTTTTACTCTAAGTATATGTTTTTGAATAAACATCGTAGTATGATCAATATTCTTTTCTAAAACTAATAGTGTATATTTATGACACTGTGTTAATGTATCCTCAATATTCAAATACAGTAAAACCTCGGTACAACAATAGTTTGGTGAACCAATAAATAGAGTGTTGTAGAGGGATGTAACATTATATCGATCTGCATACTTTGGGGACACAATAAGATTCTTCAAATTTTAGTGTTATATATGTATTAACTATAAATCTGTTTATATACTATATAAAAATTTATTCTGCAGAGTGGTAATTATGGTTAAATAGGAAATCATATTGGTAAATATAAAATCAATGACTTCTTAAGAGAAAAGGGAGGCAATTCTAATAATAGAGGGTCTTGGCGTGGTCCATGTACATCAAGGATAGAGTATTGAAATCTGAATACAAAAGAGTCCCCATGTAAAAAATGGTGACTGGTGAATCTGTCGGGGTCACAAAATCCTCCAAGTGCCTATAACAAACCAATACCTCCGGAGGTACTGGATCAGAATGTGATGGATCGTGCTCTGGTTCAGGTCAAAATTACCAACTGCGGATGGGCGGATAGTGTGTGAAGGAGTTCTCCCTGTAAAACGGGATGTGACGTATATACGTTGTCCCAGGATCAATCCGAGGGATGTTTCCCAGATCCAATAGCCCCTAGTGCAGCTCTAGTGCGACGCAAACACCAACAGCATATTTTACTATACGGTAGTAGTAATTTATTCACGTCGCACTAGACCTGGACAATGGGCTTTTGATGATGGTCTGAGAAACATCTTTGAGGATGATCCAAAGAGAAGCCATCATAATTTTGACCGTCCCGCAGTGGACTGATCGGTGAGACATCGTTCCCATCAGATCACCGAAGCCAAGCATCACTGTCTGCGGTCAGTGTGCGGGTGGGTGACCACTTGGATCAGATAGGGACCGAGAGTGTGCGGTATGGGTCCTCGTCAAACTGTTCTACCGTAAAGTGCTCTACTTCGAGTGCTAGTCGTTGGTCTACCGAAGCGGGGGAGTCATCCCCTCTCCAGAGGATCAAAATTGTGATGGCATGTATCCGAATCAGGGATGTTTCCCAGGACGTCGCCAACAGCCCATTGTGCAGCTCTGGTGCGACGCAAATAAACTACAACTTGGTAGCCGACGACCTGCCCTTTGCGGTTTAACGAGGACAGTTGTACTGAGATTATTTTGGTGATGCACCGTGTTAAATAAAATAGGTGAAGAAATACAGACTTTCAATCGAATGTGCTTTTTTATTACAATATCTATTTGATGCAAGTTATACCCGATGATAGATTCTTTATCATCTTTTCACGGGTAATAAAATTGAAACTTTTGGAATACCACATTAACTGGCGTTTACTTATTTCGTTCTTGTCTTCTGCACTACAATAAATGAATATTCGCAACAAAATTTCATTTCAATGTTTTATTGGATCGATTCGTATTATAATACACCACAATAATCAATACATTTTATGTTTAACACTGAAAGTCACATTTTAGTTTGATTCATTATTTATATTTGTTACGGAAGTATTGCAATAAGATAGTTGAAATAAATTACATTTTCCTTGATCTACTAATGTATTTGCTTCATAAGTGAATTATGCAACTACTATCGCTCTTTTATGCTTTTTACAATTATAACATGAATGAGGTAATAAAAACTGTTAAAAATCCATAGATTATTGCTCCATAAAGCATTAAAATTATATCACAGAATATATATGAACAAAATAGAAGAATATTTAACTGAATTATCCCCTAGCGTCTAAAGAATAAGGCACACAAAATAGAGTGTTCATGCGACATAACATTATGTACATACATTAAGGATTGTTTCGAATGCCTTTTTTTTCGCGAAATTGTGTTTTTAAATCAATGCTGCGTCATTACTGCAGGATTTTTTATAATGTGTAATTTACTTTTTAATAACTATGTGTTGGGCTAACCCTAAAATGACTAGCTTTTTTTTTAAAAAAAAAGAACTTTTTTTTAAAAAACTTGATTCGATAAATAAGATTCCAGATTAAGATTTAGAGGTTTCAATACACGAATCAGAATCTCGTATGTGCATGTTCTCAGCCCTGTAGCAGAATTTTCTTCTTCGAGCTATCTGCGACAAAACTCTCCAATATCATTCTGCAAAGATACTTTCAATAATAACAAACATATATGTTACTCATTTAAAATAACAAAAGCGCTTTGTTTACAAACCGAAAAAGATAAAAATAAAATTTTTATTTGGACATGTAATAATTTTTTATTCTAATATTTCTATAATTATTCTAATAATAATTTTTTTATTCTCGCATTTTGCTGGTGCGCATATTATTTCCTTTTTCGCATTTTTCAAATAACCCTCACAATAAAACAAAATTATAAAAAATCAAGAAATCCGCAGTAGTCATTGCCGAAAAAAAGATGGATGACGAAATCACACAAATCGGACTTCTCAAATGCGTGTTTCGAGATTAGGTTGTTGTATTCATAATATAGGATTTGAAAACTGTGGAGAAATCAAGAGCAATAGCTGCCAAAAATTCGACAGAATGATTGCCTTAGAAAGTAAGTACTCAAATGTACTATTCGAATTTTCCCTAGTGTTAGAAATATCTCGAGATATTTAAAATCATCGTGATCATCAATATCAATAACTGCCGAAGATACAATAGGAAATCGATTGACGATACTATTGTTGGCGTAAATTGAGCGCTTCAAAAAGTGATTATCTAAGTGATTCAAATATTACGTGTCAATTTCTGTATTAAAGAAAAGTAATTTTTTTTTTCAAAAGGAAAATCTTTCTGCGAGAACTCTATAACTTTCTGCGACAATGTCGCTGCGTCGCCACGGGGGTCCTCAGACTCGCTTGGACAAAACCCCGTGGATGCAAATTCTTACATGGAAATATTCTGATTGCAAAATATCTAGCGAGAAAAAAAGATTTTGAAATTTCTAATTTTCTTAACATTATTTCCTATTCTGTTATTCGGGAAAAACAGTTTATGGGTTGCAAAGTAATATCAATTAGCTATAAGAAAACAACAAAAATGTATTTAGAATCTGACCCATCATTAAAGCCAATCTGAGAAAAGGAGAAATAACTAGTATATTAGCCCCATTCAACTCGTCTACAGTTCCTAAAGGGTGGCGAACGTATTTTAGTTTCATCTGACTTCGATAATCATTCGTCCAACTTTGAGCAAGCCATTAGTTTTTTTTTTACTCGCTTAGTTATAAATTCCTGATATGTAAGTTCTAATAACTATACTTTCGACAAGAAATTTATTAAATGCACACAAAAGACATGCTTGAAGCATGTGTATTTTGGTTTTATCTGACTTTGATAATCATCTTTCACATTTTGATGATGCCTTCAGTTTTAAAAATTATTAATCGGAAAATAAGTAGGTTTTAAAAATGTTAATACACTTTGGACAAGGAATATAAATATATATACTTAAGACTAATGTAACGAAATGCATTCACAAATTATTTAAAAAAATTTGTTTTATTTATTTAGACTTATTTGTTCTCCAGAGACATGATCCTTTAAACTTAAATTTATACAGTCAAACCCCGCTATAGTGAACTTTCAAGAAACTGAAATTTCGGTTCACTATAACCGGAAGTTCACTTTATCCATACTGCAAACAATTTTAACTCATTTTTCAGAACTGTTCCCTTTTATGACACATTATTTAAATAAATGATCCATAAAAAGAAATACAAAAATGATTAAAAAACAATCACAAAAAATGCGTTCACTTCTATCCTTTGTAACTCGCCGTCCTGCGTGCAAAGAAAATTGAGGGATGGCCTTTAATTAAGGAGGGGAGAACTGAGATAGAAGAAGTAAGCAAGAAAAAAGGCTACATTCCACTCAATTGATGGTTTTAAAAATCGGTATATATATATGTATTTTATGTAAAAATGTCAAAATTACAAGAAAAAATGAAGGAAAAAAGTTCATAATATCCTCTCTTCTTTTAGTTCACTCTATACACAAAAAATAATTTTATATGTGTACAGCAAGACAGGGGAGCAAACATTTCATTCACTATAAACCATGTTCACTATAGTGGGGTTTGACTGTATTACTTTTTAAAAGAAATTAACAAAGCTTGGTCTTAGCAGTGAAATCCACCATCAGAATGCTTCAAGCATCAGAATATTGATAATTAATCAGTACAGAGTTAAACCGGTATAAAGATTTCCCCACAATTTTTTGCCTTATCGACAAATCTAGTTTTTCTTCCCACTGCATACCATTTCTGCTGGAATCTACTTGCATAGGGGATAATAAAAAAATTAAGATTTGCTAAAGGAAGAGGAGGAAAGTGTGGGGAATGGGGAAATCGAGTGAGTTCCTTGAGACTATTTGCAAAGAGTATAGGAACTAATTTTCGATAAAAGGAAATAAAATCTCGATCGCTTTCCTGAATGTCGCCCTCTGCTTGTTCGATTATATTTTATGAATAACATTCTACGATTTTATGGAGAGAAAAAATAGATAATTGTTCATTTTTTAATTATTGTTGAGTTTTATATATATTAACTATTGGAAGATTGCAAAAAACCTAGATAGCCGATCGAAGTAATTCCTTTAGAAGACTTCATCTCCAATTTCATTCATTTTTGTGGCAATTCTAATTTGAGTTGTTTTATTTCTGTTGTGGAACCGTAAGTAGTTGATTAAATTCATTAACATATGCGAGAAAGACCCTCGAGTGCTGTATTTTGGAAATGTAAAGAATGTGTTAAGATCGCTAGGATAAATAGATCTGTCAAATTGGATTAAAAAGATAAATGAAACCATAACAAAAGATCTGTGACGATCACTGGCTACCCATGGGTCAAATTCTTTTTCCATCTGGATGGACTTCGTTAAACGCCACACCATTTCAAATCATGGGTTGTAAAAAACTGTCTCCATTGATGCTTGTCGTCGAATTCATTTTCATATCATTGCCTATGTACGTGTTTCACAAAACGTGTTCTTCTTCAGTATTCATATTTATATTGAAATCAGCGTCAAGCCAGTCATTATACGTTAATAATAAAGGGAATATAAAAATAAATTATTATTATGTAAATACATTAAAATGCCTGCTAGTGAAAAGAAAAACGGCAACGGTCGCCCTAGCAACGCATGTTGCACTGTTTACTGTTAATCTGGAACACAGTTGAAAAGTGTGTGGACTCAAATCCATTCCAAACCAAGTACAATTTTGCCAATGGGTAAAAGGGATTCTTTACGTGCTCCGTTAAAAATGGTGAAACAAAATCACGAGACTCTTTAAAAAGCAATTAGAATATATCATTTTAGAGAATCAAAGCATAAACATGTAGATTCTTCAGAGAAAACAATTCTAAATAATTTAATAAACAAACTATACTGAATATTAACAATTGAAAAGGAAGGAATATATTTACACACAAGGTATTATAAAAAGCACGATAAAAAAAAGTAAATATAATTGTTCTGCGATAAATGCTGAAAAATGAAGTATTTGTTGTCGAACTGTCGAGCAGAAAATTTGATAAAAAAGGTAACAAAAGAGACAGGCGACCAGGAATCAAGTGATTTGTGCATCTTCTAAATAGAATGAATGGGTATTAAAAATGAAAATATTTGATATTAATAGGCCATTAAAAATTGATACTAGCCAATTTGAAAAATCTGCCCCATCATTTCCCAAAAGCAACACAATTTTCACTTAAGTAATAATTTTTCCCTTATATCTGATCTATCTTAATCATATTACCTGTTTGAAATATTTCGTAAAACATTACTTTACATTGTGAATTGAAAATAGATTGCTATATAAAAATATGCATTGTTTAATTTTAAAATTAAGAACCACAAAAATTTTTTCACTTTTAAGAATTCAAAAAAAATTTCCTTGACTATCGCTCGAAGGCTTTTACCGCTACCCTAATCAATTTTTTTGAATCAACCTTTTATCCATTTGTTTACTATCTCAAATTATCTCGCGCAAATGAAAAAAGTTAAATATGAGTCTTTGTTCACATCTGAAAGATCCTCCTTTCACACTCCCTTTTTTTTCTACGTAAATTCATCCACCCATCGTGTATATACAATTGTATGTACAAAACACGTCCCACAAACAAATATTGGTCTAATCTCAGCAGATTATTTTTCGCTTCCAGCCGAATAAAAACGTGATAAAACAAAACGTGATTCTGCAATGCAACTCGGGATAAACGGTTAAAGGTTTAAAATCATACATTATTTAGTATTTAAAAAGTTTATGATGGAGTCGTTGTGAGAATGAAGCGGATGCGTTCTGCGAGTGAAATTGGAGATAAGGTACTTTCATAAGACACGCAAAATAAACCTTAAATATTAAGGTGGTGTGCTCCTTCTCTAAGTTAGTGTAGACCGTTGCCGACAGAAGCCGTGCATGATGTGGAGGAGGACTTTTTGGGACTGGTCTCACTTTCTGGAATGAGTAGAGAGGTCGTAGAGGTGCTTGCCAGTGGAGATTTCAAGAGGAGGGCTTTAATGATCCAGGCATCGTTCTTGAAACCTTTACAGAATTCTTCACGGCTCAATTTGCCATCTTGATCCTTAAAAAGATACACTGACATCAATTCAAATAGTAGATGAACACTTAATAGACACCCATGTTTCTTGATTGAATGTATGAAATACGGATGTTAGGAAGGAAATAAACTATAATTCATTAAACGATTTATTAAATTAAAAGAAATTGCGCCACTCTTTACGTATGACAAACACAAAGAATTCTTAATTCATTGCTCAATGCATTTTTTACATATACTGGGTGCTTCCGCAAACATATTTTTCGCATATAGAACAAATCAATTATTGCCGTTACAATATCCTACTCTATCCCTATTTGGTTGATAAGAATCTTGCTAGTGGCCAAAACTTTTTGTCACTTTTCTGACATAAAAATGCCCATCTAAAATTTGAATTCACAGTTATTCTGATTGAATGAACTACGCGACGGTTTTTGCAGCTCATCAAATGCAATACGTTGAACACGCGTGACATCGTCATTTCTGACCCGATCACCTTATAAAGTAATAAATTGTTCTCTCGGTCAAGTGACCGGTTGTGGTAAAAATAGGTATACGACACGTATTATTCGAAACAAACTAAATACAATAATAATAGATTATTAACTGTCTATAATTGTTAGAAAAAGTCAAATGTACAAAAGGGATAAGATGATATACGCATTTTCGATGCAAAAGTTCTTAAACGGTCTATTGACCTGTTATGGTATGTTTAGTATTGAATTTTCAAGATCCATATAAATCAGTACCAAAAGAATGAATCTTCCACTGATTTTGCAAGTGAGTCAGTCACCCTTAACTCAACCGTTCAAATATGCAGCGGTTGCACTATCCCATGACTGCTAAGCGTTTTGCATTGAATGGTAGAAGCTTTCAGAATTTTTGGTAACTTTCTGAGGCAGGGGCATACGGGGCAGTTGCCCCAGGCCCCAAATCGATTAGAAAGTTTATTTATGTTTCCTTCTTGAATGAACTTTTCTTGAACAAAATATCAGGACCCGTCAATTTTATGTTTTCATTCATCTATCGTATGAGCACAAATTTTGTAAATCCATGGCTTTCTAGTGCGGAATTCAGCTAAATTGTCGATGGATATATTTGGCCAATCAAAAACCTGCATAACAGCAAAAGGCGATAGGTTTACAGAAATACATACTTCTGATTGGCTTAAGTGAGCCATCGTCATTGTGAAAATTTAGCTGAATACCGCCTTAATGTCAGCAAGGATTTTTTTGCAGATAGATGACAAAGTGAACAATCAGAAAACTGCATTCGGCATAGTGGGCAATAGAATGGTCAGAAAATCAATAAAATGGACAGAACGATATTTCGTCTGACCATTGGAGGCTTCACAGCTGTTTTAGGTTCTAGTCAGTTACTTATCTATTATGAGGTGAAAATACCTCAATAAAGTTCAGTTCTTCATTACTGAAGCAGAGGGGGCGGGTCCTGGTAATGTTGCCAATATTTTAAAAGATTCACCACGAGAGAGCTCGAACTTTTAAATCATGTATAAGTGTGAAAAATATATATAATCTATTGGGGCCGGGATAGCCTGGTCGGTAGGGCGCTGGGCCCATATCTAAGAGGTCGTAGGTTCGATCCTCGCCGGCCGAAGACTCCCCATGTAGTAAATGGTGACTGATGCACGTTAAATCTGTCGAGTCTCAAAGTCCTCCATGTTCCCACAACACATCAATACCTCTGGGGGTACTGATCCAGGAGTTTCCTTGTCTTCTGGATTGGTTCAAAATTACAAGGCTACGGAGTTGAGCGTAAGTAGTCGTAAACCCATGAAATTGGGTCGGCTGTTCAACGACGGTTATAAAATAAAATATAATCTATTAAAATATAAACACAGCTACCACTAAAATTAAATTTCACTGAAAGCGTAGGTAGACCTGATTATCCTGCAGAAAAATAGCGTTAAAGAGGATAATAGAGCGAAATACCGGGTCTTAATAGATATAAGTGTACAAATTTATTTAACAAGATATGGATAGCAAAATTCAAAATAATTTGCATAATAGGTTATACAGAGTCGCGGTGGCTCAGGGGATAAAGCAGTCTCGCTTATCAATGACGTCCGAATCCCACCGACCGACGTAACCGCACCATCATTTCGCACCGACCGACGTAAAATATCTTCATCAGTAGACGGATCATGGATTAATCCCCTTACCGTGAGGCTAATCGTGGGAGGTTTTCGTGGTTTTCCATGTAATGCGGGTAAGTTTCATGAATAAGTCCTCCACGAAGGCAAATGATTCCCAACACTTGAACCCTTGCCTTCTGGGTTGGGTTCAAAAGGAGAAGGTTAAGGAGTTGAATATCGGTAGTCGTAAACTTAAAATTGGGTCTGCTGTTCGACGTCAGTTATGGAAGTCTCAACCTAGACGAAACATTTATAGGAAATCTCAGAAGAAAAAAAAATATATAATCAATAATTGCTGTCCCTTTTTACATTTAAAAAATGGCAAATTTTCATAAATTGAAAATTTTATATGCTCCTTTACTGTCTTATTTTACCAAATTTTGTTTTCTACATCTTAAAGCTAAATTGAATAAATAATAAAATGATGGGCCCGATTATTATAAGAAATAATATTTTTTATTTACAGATTTCTAATATAGATTCATAGACAGATTTGGATTTTTCTTGAGTAATAAAAGTTTCGGAAAAAACTACATAAAAATTATGACTTTTTTACTATCTGCATAAACACCGAGTTTATGTTTACAAATATGTTTTGAAATATGAGAGACAAAACTTATTTTTTTCGCTCATCAACGCTTTGAAATCAAGTGATTTTATTTTAACGGTGTTTGATTTTGAAATCACTTGAAAACTTTTTTGATTTTAAAATCGTGCGTTAATGAATAGCGGTTTTCGATTTTAAGATTGTGTGAATAAAAATCTCGATATCTAATTTTTAAAACAAGTGAATCTGAAATTTTCGTTTTAAATTGCGTAAATCGCGATGTCTTTTTTTTTTTTTTTTTTTTTAAATCTCATGAAAACTATCATTGTTTTCTTCTAAAATGATATGAAAACGTGAAAACGAATCACGATATGTTTAAATCGGAGGATTTGTAAATAAAATTGGGTCGATACTGTACTACTCGAAGCGATGTCTTAATTTACGGAGTTCTAAAGGTTTAAAAAAAATCCCTCTATTAATAAAATAACTCACGATTTGAATGATCGATGAAACAATCAATTGAACTACAACTATGATTCATTTCCGCCACTGTCCTTCAACTCCTCTTTACTCACTCCTGAATGTAAGTAAAACACAGTTTTTTTCAGGAATTGGAAAACAGAAAAAGCGCTATTGCATTAAATACGACACCATATGAGGAAATAGTTGCCTAAATCTGCATGAAGGCCCAACCTTTTTTTTTTAACAAAATAGTTTCTTTCGGACGCTTTTTTGATCAAAAAAAGTCGCCATAGTCGCCCATGCAAACCCCACATATTCGGTGCTCTTGAGTGTTGGTATTTCAACGTAGTAGATATATACCGTGTCTAATTTGGTGAAGAGTTCATCGACTCTTTGGTGTGCGGCAGTCTTCTCCTCTGGTTCTCCCTCTTTGCCATGCATCCTGTAGATGGCTCGGACAATGTCCAGCATCTCTTCCCTGGACACGTAGCCGTCACTGTCAAAATCATATAAACTGAATGCCCCTGAAAAATGATACTGTTATTACCTGAACTCTTTCAAAAATCAATTCATTTTTAAAAAAACTTACATTGAAGATAGATTTAATATTAAAGCTATAAACTGGTCATTAAATATTTGGTTTATTTTCGGATTGAACAAAGGATGTAGGTTTTTAAAGTTATATAGGTAAGTATATAAAGTAAATATATATACACACACAAAAAGGATAAAAAGAGGAAAGCGAAGAAAATTAATAAGTTTTATTAAATAAAAATAATGAAATATATTGATTTTGTTGATAAACATAATATTACTTGTAATTTAAATATTATAGAAAACTTAGGAATTCAATGGTAAAAAGCCCATTACCATATCCCATAGCCCATTAGACCCATTTACCATATATCAATTAGTAAAATTCTAAAATATTTTCTTAATGATCCCAATAGTTTTTGTTTAAAGATACCAAATAGATTCTCTTTACCTTTAGGTATGTTAACAGAATGGAAATGGGCTGTTTATTATTATTTTAAAAACTTTGCTTTCAATAATAAGGGAAATTTAAATAGCAGTAACAATTCAACAAACGTTTCTAAAATTGTTTGATCAGTTAAGCAATTAAGTAATTAAGTAATTATCTCCTTAGACAATGCTAAGAATAATTATGCAATCTTCTGTAAAAAATTCTAAGTTGAACTTTTAAATACGGAGTTAAAAAATAGTAAAAATTTCATGCTTAGTAATTTAAATAATAATATTGTCATTAATATATCTTTATATATAAGAAGAGAGTGGAATGATAACACATAGCCAATGAGAGAAGACATCTGGTGAGTAACGCACAAAACAGCCAATCAAAATTGAGAACGCATGTATGTGAAAAGGTCATAATTTTTAATAATGCTGTCAAAAAATGCAAAATACAAACTGACCTCAAATAAAACTCATTAGACTTCAAATTAAATAATTAAGAAAACTCTACTATTACGTTTATAAAAAGGAAGATTTGTTAACTCTACAACAAAATTATAACATCGCCATTCAAAAAAAAAAAAAAAAAAAAAAAAAAAAAAAAAAAAAAAAAAAANAAAAAAAAAAAAAAATCTCACACTTGTTACGTAAAGCTATAAAAATACTGAACGATTATTTATGCAAACGATTATAAATGATTACTATGAACTAAACTTTATGCTAAGGCTCCTATACTATCAAATATAAGTCTAATTCAGGGGCTCTACTTTATACAAACGATTGTTTATGACGTCATTAGATAAAAGTGTCATTAACGCAATATTATCCAGTGTTTATTAATAATTTTAAGTGGCAATGTAGAAAGATAGTTGTTCTAAAGTTTTATAATAAAATGTTTGTTTTGATAGAACGCTGTTATTTATTTTAGAATTCCAACATATTTTAATAGCTTTGATAAATCGGGTAGAGATATTGGAAGCACGAATCAAAACTCTCTCAAAAAACTATTTACATTCCAAATTATCAAAATATATTGAACAAAGTTTACTCTAAAATACTTGTATCTTTTATAAAAAATGGATCGCCGTGAATATCTTAGGCGATATCAACAGCGGCATAGAGCTGAACATGATTTAGCTGCACAAAATTAACTGGAAAATAATCGTAGTGCTATCAATACGCGACGGCGGAATGCGCGGCGAAGAAACATTGAAAAGTCAAGACGTTTAAATGAAAACGAATATCTTGGTGTACTTACGAATACTTCTGATTGAAACTAAAATATTTTATCAGTTGACAGTATTGAAGTTAATTGAGCAATTACTTGCAATGGTATTTGCTTTTGAAATATTACTTAGAATCAACTTATTAATATTACATGTTTTAATTTGTTTGTAATTTTTGTAAAGTTTTTTTTTTCATCAGGTTTTAATTGTTTTTTGTTTAAAATTTAAATTACTGGGGGGGGGGAGATAAAGCACCATATAGGGAGCGTCCGGCATCCTATAAGATAAACAATGATTTAAGTTAGGCTCTACCACGCGTGCTTCGGATACGGAGATTAATCTCCGGCTAATGCCCCATAGTAATGTGCTAAATAATATTGCTTCCGCGCTTTTGTATAACTTTATAATGTTTGTAATTGAAATTGCTTTATATAAGTTTATAATATTGATAATAAGTTCCCCTGACATTTTACAATCTTACCATATTCTCTCTATGTGATGTTGGTGCAGAAAAATTGCCAGCTAATCTACAGGAAAACGACTTTAAGTTTGTTCGCGAAGCGAACGAAAATGTAATTGCGTAGCAATTATGGGGGGTTGGCGAGAGGTAGTGAGCAGGGGACAGAGACCTCTAGTATGTATATATATATATATATATATATACAGGATGATTTTAAAAAGATGGGCAAAATTTGTGATAGTACACACCCAAGCAAACAATTTTTATCAAAGAATGCATGGTCGAAAACAAATCGCAAAACCGCTAGAGAACGCCAAAGTTTATGTTCTTATATCAGGCAAAAACACACAAAGAACGATGAAGTTAAGTTATAAAAGTAAATTCAATGGCATGTGATTATAATAAGTGTTCAAAACAGTGGCCGGCAGCGGCTATGCACGCAGTACAACGGCGGAGAAAACATAGGCGAACATTCTAAAACACACCAGGCATATCGCGAACTTTCCCTGCAGCTGCCGAAAGCTTGGCGACAAGAAACGCAGCTCAGTAACTCGCAACAGGAATGGAGTTTTCACGTTTGCATCAAACAACTTACTTTCCAGCATTTCGAAAGTATACTACGGCTCATTTATTATAGTTTCGAAATATATATATATATATATATCATATCAGGGTAACAAACCCCGATATTTTGTTATTGTATTTAAATTACATTTGTTGAAATAATAAGACTTTAACAGGTTTTATTTACTGGAGTATGATGTAAACAGAAATCTCACCCACTCTCCAGCCGGAGGGGGAAAGACACAGATTTCTCGTCACAACGACGGAGTTCAGATGGTAAACACAGGGGTGAGTGTGAGCTCAAGTCAAAATTCCGGAAAATTTCTTGAGTTTAAGAAAAGAAGTTTAAATTGAAAAATGAGAAAAAAAATTAAACAAGGTATGTTTCCTTTTTCTCAATATTTCTTAGTTTTCTTAAAATATTTTTAAAATTTTACACATACCTATACCATTTACATATATATATAATGACCCGGAGAAGTAATTAAAATTCGCAAATATGCCGTTCTTTCTTGAGTTAATGATTATAACAACTATTTACTGATAAAAAAATGAATATTAATCATGAATATAAGCTTATAAAGTATATCTCTGACTCTCCCTTACAAACAAATAAAATAAACTGTGTTTTTAAGTTCCACCTTTGAAAATTTGACTTCCAGAAACTTCTGTGATCAATGATATAACTTGAATTGCCCGTTTTGCACGGATTTTTAACCACAGATTTTCCCGAAATTTATTTGCACATGATAAACATATATAAATTAACAAAGAAGTTTTTAGTAAACTTATTTATAACATACAATTGAATCAATGATTTTATATAGAATTTTTTCACTTTAGCAGGGCATCCATTGCTTTGTATCAAATTTCGAAAGAGTTTGTCTATTTGTTCTTTAGATAAATAAACATTATTACATATTCTTTTAATTCTATTCATTTTATTAAAAATGGTATTTAAATAGTTTTTAGAAACATTTGAATTCCAAGTTTATTTATATTAAAATTAAAAGCACTTTTATCGTATAAATTAACAAAGCAGATATTATCTTCTCTTATAATACCCATATCCAAAAAATTGAAATTAATATTATCATCATGATAACGAAGCAAGATTAATTCCTCGGGGTAAATATTATTTAATAAAATTGTATAGTCTTGAAAATTAAAAATAATTAAATCATCAATAAATCTAAAAACAAATTTAATGTTAAGAGTATAATTGTTTTCATAATAGTGCGGAAATAATTTAGCTAATAGAGATGAAAAATTAGATCCTTGTGGCATTCCATCAAATTGAAAAAAAGATCGTTTCCAGAGCAAAAAAAAATTATTAAAAAGACAAAAATTCATTAGAACTTTCCAATAATCACTATCGCAATTAAGGATATTTTTAAAATCATAGTAATAACTCAGAAGAACATCTTTTAGGAATGCCATTGAAAAGATCCTGGATATCAAAAGTCGCAATAGAATTAATTTTATTATGTTTAATAAATTCTAAAATCAGTTGATTATTAATGATAATCCAAGAAAGACCATCTTTAATACTGTTAATAATTTTATTTGGGACTGATAATTAAATTTAGGACTGATAATTAAGTAAGCAAATTGTATATTACTAATTTTAATTTCTAACCTCTTATATAAGGCTAAAATGTTTTTAATGACAATATTATTATTTAAATTAAAGAGCTTAACATTTTTATTATTTTTTAACTCCGTATTTAAAAGTTGAACATAGAATTTCTTACAGAAGATTGCATAATTATTCTTAGCTTTGTCTATGGGGATAATCACAAATTTTTTTTGAAGTTGCTTAACTGAGCTAACACTTTTAGAAACATTTGTCGAATTGTTACTGATATTTAAATTTCCCTAATTATTGAAAACAAAGTTTTTAAAATAATAATAAACAGCCCATTTCCATTCTGTTAACATACCTAAAGGTAAAGAGAATCTATTTGGTATCTTTAAACAAAACTATTGAGATCATTAAAAAAGTATTTTAGAGCTTTATTAATTGATATATGGTAAATAGGTCTACATTTTGGTCCTTTTACCACTAAGTTCTAAGTTTCCTATAATATTTAAATTACAAGTAATATTATGTATATAATGTTTATCAACAAAATCAATATACTTCGTTATTTCTATTTAATAAAGCTTATTAATTTTCTTTGTTTTTCTCTTTTTATCTTTTTTGTACATAAATATTGTATATATATTTTGTATATATATTTTGTGTATATATATATATATATATTTACAGGGTGAATCTAAAAAGATGGGCAAAATTTTAGGAAGTGATAGTACACACCCAGACAAACAATTTTTATCAAAGAATGCATGGTCGAAAACAAAACGCAAAGGTGCAGGCGCATTTGGAAAGTTTTTTCATGCAAACGAGAAAGCTCCATTCCTATTGCGAGTTACAGCGCTACGTTATTTGTCGCCAAGCTTTCGGCCGCTGCAGGGAAAGTTCGCCTATCTTTTCTTCGCCGTTGTACCAGCATAGCCGCTGCCGGCCACTGTTTTGAACACTTGTTGTAATCACATGCCATTAAATTTGCTTTTATAACTTAACTTCATCGTTCTTTGTGTGTTTTTGCCTCATATAAGAACATAAACTTTGACACCCTCTAGCGGTTTTGGGTTTTGCTTTCGACCATGCATTCTTTTATAAAAATTGTTTGTCTGGGTGTGTACTATCACTTCTTAAGATTTTCCCCACCTTTTTAGAATCACGCTGTATATATAAACACAGTATACTCTCAATTTTTCGAATTTCTATAGAGTGAATTTTTCCCCTAGACATTCTATATCTTGGCATTGAAATCATTTCTTAAAATATACCGTAGTTTGAAACTTTACACAGATATTGTTTTATTTCAACCATAACGATTTAAATGTTCTTTTTGCATGAGCTATTTGTAACGTAGCATCTAATTAGAGTGAGTTATTATAACATATTCGAAAATATTTATTCAGCATTTCAAATGTTTGATTTGATGCGGCACAACAAAATACCCTATTCATCATTACTTTTCGATTATAACCTTAATGAAGCACTTTTTAATTATGGAGTTTGTAAAATATTCTTGGATACAGTTCCAAATTATGAGACGCCCTCTATGTAAAATTTTAATTATACAGGTGATACAGCCTTATTGTTTTGATGCTCCTGTATCAATGGGTTGTCATGCGATAGAGTAAAAATAAATGAAAAATCTCCTCTATAAGAACCCATTACATTTATGTTTAAATATAAACTCGTGCAAAACATGCAATTATTAAAAAACTGCAGTGCCTCTAATAATCATTACTATAATACCTGATACATTTATATATAGTATATCGTCTCGTTTAACCAATGAATACACTGACAAGGAAACAAGTGGCAAAGCGCGTAAAAACAATAAAGCCTGAAAATGAAGATTTTACATAGACTGCCTCTAATAATTTGGCCTGTACAATGCTTTTCAAGCTTTTATAATTCCTTTTTTTTCTATTTATTTAATGTGGAGTGCACTACACAATTACAGTACTTACAGTTTAACTTTTCTTCTATTGTTCCCCTCGTCGTTATGGAGATGGCCAAGATGAACTCTTTGAATGTGATCACCCCGTTCTGTTAAGAGATAATTACAAAAACATTACAAAGATAAATAGTTTCTAATGGTTATTTAGGTGTCAAAAAATGAACTCTTGGTGCATAATTTGTATATCAAATGAGAGACGGATTTGCAAGCAGTGTAAACTTATTTTTTAGAACTAAATTTTAAAAACCGAAAAAGATCCAACCCTGCATCCCCGTTTAGCAATAGTTGTTATAAAAAAGAGTTTTCTGCAAAGCGGTACGAATGGTTAACTCAACTTGCACTCCTTGAAAATTTGTTGCCTCACAGAAACTAAAAAAAATAAAGTTGTGATCGCCTTATCCATGGGTCAAATGAGTTTTCTTTCTGGATGGACTCCGTTAAACACCACACCATTTCAAATCATGAGTTGCAATGGATGCTTGTTGATTTTCATATCCTGAATATGCTATACACTTTTCCTTCATATTTTATTTTATGACCGTCGTTGAACAGTCGACCCAATTTTTGGGTTTACGACTACTAATGTTCAACGCCGTAACCTTGTCATTTTGAACCAATCCAGAAGACAAGAAAACTCCTGGATCGGTACCCCCAGAGGTATTGATTTGTTATGGGAACATGGAGGACTTTGAGACTCGACAGATTTAACGTGCATCAGTTACCATTTACTACACGGGGAGTCTTCGACCGGCGGGGACCGAACCCACGAACTCTTGGACATGGGCCCGGCACCCCACTGACCAGGCTATCCCGGCCTAGTAGCGACAATTTAATTTTACATTGATTAACAAGCAGCGTTACATTACAGACTCAAAGGATGGACATCGACAATAACAGTACAATATAAAATAGCTAGTCACGTCACAAGTATTTTTTATTTATTTATTTTTAATTTTTTTTTAAATTTATTTATTTATTTTTAATTTTTTTTAATTTATTTATTTACTTTTTTTTTCCTTCTATTTATTTATTTTTTTTTTTTTAACATTTAACATAAATGGCCATCACGGGTAGCTGAAAAGCTCCGGACTCTCTGTCTGTCCCCGGGGACTGGGAGCAGGGTCAGTGGTGTGGCGTGTGTGGTGATCAATCACGGTGGCTGCTATCATATTCATATTAAAATCATCGTCAAGACAGTCATTATACTTTCATAATAAAAATAAAAAGAAACTTTAAACTATTATGATGTCAATACATTAAAAATGCCTGCTGGTGAAAAGATAAAAGAAAAAATAGCAGCGGTTGCCATAGCAACGCATGCGCATTGTTTACTATTACTCTTGAACACAGTTAAAAAGTGTATGGACGCCAGCCAATCCAAAACAAGACCCATTTTGCCTGCCAATGGGTAATAAAATACAAGTTGTCAATTTAAATTAAATAAAAGTTATTAATTTAATTTTTGTTTCAATGCACATGAACGATAATTAATAAATGTTTGATACTTAAAAAGAAATATACGGAGGAAAACTTTTTTTATTTCTTTTTTGAAATGGGGAAACAACAAAATAAATTTCTGAGTTTTGATATCATTTTATTTTTTAAAATTTCGTACCTTATACAACGATAGGGTCTATAGTTTATTATAGGTGATGTAATACCTATCAGAATTTGATGTTAAAAAACTAAAAAACTTCTGTGTGTGAAAAACAAAAATTTTGTAAACGCATGCTTTATTTCAAGATAATACCAAATCGAACGTTCAACAATATACTAAAGGATATCATTAAATTTAAGCAACACTCATTTAAAAAAAAAAAAAAGCTTACACCAAGCTCCAACTCATTCATTCCATTCATGAACTATTTTCATCCATTTTGGAATAAGTTTGGAAACCGTCAGTTGGCAACGGTAGATTGTTTGCAATCGAGCACGAGAAGGCGAAAGTCTGTTGTCGTTTCGCACGCTACTGAACATTCTACATAAATAAAAGTTAACTTTTATCAGAACATGTTTGATTTTTGTTGTGTTGTAAAGATGATAATGTTCTATAACCGTCGTTGAACAGTCGACCCAATTTTGGGTTGACGAATACTCATGTTCAACTCCGTCTTGTCATTTCGAATCCAATCCAGAAGACAAGGGAACTCCTGGATCAAGCATTGGGAGAAATTTTCCTTTCGTGGAGGACTTTTTGATGGAGCTAACTCGCATTTGCGTTACATAGAGAGGAAGACCGCGAGAGCCTCCCACGGTTAGCTTGACGGCAAGGGGACTCTATCGGAAGACTGACTCTGTCGATTGTATTTGCTAACTTTATAATATTTATTCCGATGTATATTATATTCTATTCTGCTCTGCTACACCCTGGTTCGAATTCATATTCTCTTTGTGCTGTTTCATTAACACATAAAGTAGTTTTAGTACACTATGCGATATACACTAAAACATTTTAGAGGGTAAATACATATTTCAAGCATTAAAAAATATTAAATTGGTGACCTTACCTTGTCTATATCAAAAACATTAAAGACGTAGTCGACAAATCTCGTTGGATCACCGGATGGAAAAAACTGACCATAAATGTGTTTGAATTCCTGAAAAACAAATAATTACTCTTTCAATGTCTGAAATATTTTTTTTCTCTCACCACAATCAATAGTCAGCAAAGTGATTGACTGGTCCCCATTATTAATTCCTTTCTAGAAACAATCCTTTTTTATCAGGCTGATTGCAGATTCATTTGATTGCAAAAAAGTTATAGTTTAGAGCAGTGTTTCCCAAAGTGTGGTAAGCATATCCCCAGGGGGGGGGCAGTTTAGCGGGGGTACGCGTTCTTATGCGAAATATTTTGCAACAAAAGAAAATTTCAAAACATTTTATTTAAAAAGAAAGCCAGCCATGAAAATTTACGATGACGTATTTTTCTATTGGTCATTTTTTTGCAAAGTTAACAGTTAATAATGAGTGGCGTCAACAGCCAGTTGTGATTTTTAATTTTTGTGCAATTTTTGTATAGTAAAAAATATATTCATTTTCTTATGGGTGGTACACTGCGTTACATTTAAAAAGTGTACACAAAAGTTTGGGAAACACTGGTATAAAGTAAATTTTTAGACGCACTCTACGATTCTATGTAATATCTTCATTATCGCACCTTTATTGTTTTTACGCGGTTTGCACTTGTTATGTATCTTTTGGACTACATCGTAATGCAATACGTTAAATATAAATACACATAGAAAGTCTATAAAAAATCACCCGAATAAAAACCCATTTACATGGATGTTTAACTATAAAAGTATTGTCTATATTATTAAAAAACTCTCATAGTTGGATCTAATTATTATAATATACAAATGTAATGCTTGATAGTCTATATTTATATAATAAATAGTCTATATTTATATTATAGATCGTTTATTTTAACCCATTGATACACGCGTAAAAACAATGAATCACCCGAGTAATTAAGATTTTACATAGAGTGCGATATGGAAAGGGACACTTTTTTTTTATAAGGGATATAATATTTTTCAATGTTATATGAAGCAAACTTACTTCTTTTGTCATATAACCGGAAGGACAATCTTGTATAAAATCTTTGTACCTGCATTAAATAAAAACAATAATTATTCCATTTATTTCAATGAATATAGGTCACAAATCATTAAAAAGATCACTTACCATTGTCTTAATTGCTTAGTATTAACTGAGCAGCAGCATTAAAAAGAAGAAAAATATATGTATATATAATAAATCAAAAGGGATAATTATAGTGAATCAAATTAACAATTGTATTTCATACCTAATTTTAATATCGGCTTTAAAAGCGATCATCATAATGTAAGTTTGCCATAAAAAATAACAAAGTTCATTTATTTATAAATTTCGTGGGCAATAAATTTAGCTACGCTGAAATTGTAGCATTTGACGTGAAGGGTGAACTTGACCTACGCTTGCAAATGATGCTACAGCTGTCTGTATGTATGTGATGTCCAGAGAAGAATTTTCTTCAGGTGCAAGGACAGAATGAGAAACTTCAGGGGCGTAGATCCTGCATTTTTTTTATATCCGTCGTTGAACCCAATTTTTGGGTACTCATGTTCAACTCCGTAGCCTTGTCATTTTGAACCCTACCCAGAAGACAAGGTTCCCCCAGAGATATTGATTTGTTATGCGTGCATGGAGGACTTTTACGACTCGACAGATTGAACGTGCATCAGTCACCATTTACTTCGGCCAGAGGGGATCGAAACACGAACATGGGCCCAGCCCCCTACCCACCAGGCTGTCCCGGCCTAATAAATGCTGCATTCAGCAAACTCAGAAGAAGATTTCTCAGATTATGAATCTATACAAAGACTAATATTTAACCTTTTTCATTTACTCGGGATAATTTGGTATAGTAAACTGATGGTACATTAAATATTATTTACGCGTAAATAATTCAACATTTCAACTTAGAACTTATGTTTTGTTTTAGTTCCTTGTATTTATAAATGAAATAAAAAATTTTGATTTTTTGCATTTTTTAAAAAAAAATGGTAAGGGAAGCAGTTGAATCCAAATTCAAACCTGCCTGTTCGAAATACGCAAAACCACACAGACAAAAAATCTAATAAATGCACTAAAAACATATTAAATATATCCCCCCATTTAAATAAGTAAAAACCGGCGATTTGTTTTAAAGGGTACAGTCATCAAACAAACATGTTTTTTTTTAATTATTAATATAAATATATAAATTAAAACCTTTAAAAATCCTTACAAGGGACAAAAGATTAAAAAAAAATTTGAAAATCAATTCGGTACATTTTTTCCTTTAAAAAAAGATCTCAAATTTTTTTTTTAACAGGAGAACAAAGTAGTATGAAAGAACCATCAGAAAAAATAATCCATACACAAATCATAATTCTAAAAGCAAAACGTTCTTTTTCCAAAAAAGAATAAAAGCCATTGCGGCTTCATGATATCGGGAAATTTTGACGGGTTTTAACTTTTCGTTGTATTATTATAGCATTAAATGCCGAACAGAGAAATGAAGCGTTCCTACTCTTAAAGTAAAATAATAAAAAGAAATAATCTATTTCTATGGTTACAGTTACACAGTGATACTTCTTGAAATACTTTCTGAAACCTCAATCAATTTTTATGTACTTAATAGTTAGTGACCCACTCTGTTAGGCACGTTCAAAAATACATTCGAATTTGACATTTGCTGTCAACCCTGATTAAAAGATGTGACGGCCAAATATTATAGTTCACTGATTGAATTCCGTTATCATGTCTAGACATGAAAGGAAAAGAATTTAATGAAGAAAATTTTATTTTAAAACTGTTTTAACCACGCTTCTCTTGCCAATTATTTTGAAGGGGGAAAAAATGCAAAAAATCAACCTATTTTTTTATTTCATTCATAAATAGAAGGCACTGAAACAAAACACAATTTCTAAGTTGAAATTTTAATTTTTTTTATGCGTAAAAAATACCGCCAGTTTACTATCCCTAATTGTCTCGGGAAAATTAAAAAAAGTTAAATATCAGTTTTCAAGTATTCACTTTCACTCGCGAACGCCATTTTTTTTTCTATTCTTTTTTTTTATGTAAATTCATCAACCATCGTTATATATAATTGTACAAAACACGTCCCAGAAATAGCAAAACTCCCAAACAAATATTGGCAGATTATTATTATTTTTTGTATCTCTTCCGGCCGAATAAAAACGTGATAAAACAAATTGTATTGGAGATCAAAGATAAATCGGAATTCATTATGGAGAAATCTTCAGAGGAAGGCATTGGCCCACACTGGGCTATCTGGCCAACTAGGACGACGAATGGAGCTACTTTAAACTGTCTTCATCCATAATTTAAAAACTGAAGTTCATAAAAAGTGTGTTCAGAAATACCTAAGGTTAAGTGAAAATTGTGTTTTTGAAAACACAATTTTCATTTAACCTTAGGTAAGGTATCGATAGCTTTATCGAAATATTCAAACATGAGAGAATATTGTTGTGGGAAAGTTCTCTCATTATTTTTTAAGCATTTTGATGTTTTGAAAATATTTTTGTCGACTCTAGAAATGTCTGGACTCACTAAATGCACCCCCATGTATCAGACTATGAAAAGTTTTTACCGCGAACTCTTGACATTTTATTAATCGCTCTATCTATATTTCAATCGATTGTAATAGTTAGTCATTAGAGGACAGAAGCATGGATAAAATAGTCACAAAAGAATTCAACTATAAAAAATGAACATCATGATTTGACTGTTTTACAATAGGTCGAAATGAGTTGAGGAGCATTAATAAATTTTTTTCTTTTTCTTCTTCTCAAAATTCTATTTCTGAATTGGGTGGATATGATTATTTTTAAAAAAACTGATTTGACAATGAAAATTTGACTACGTACTTTTTTTTGCATGTTGGAAAGAAAAAAAAGATCTATTTTTATTTTCCAAAGATTCAACTACAAAGACACTCATTTTTTTTCTATCCTTTCAACCAGTGGCGTAGTTTTGGGGAGAATTTAAGAGATGAAACCCCCTCCGAAATTAAACATTACTTGGTAAACTAATGTGCAGTGAGTATGAAATATTGATTTGATGGAAGGATATTTGAAGGAGAAGATAACCCTCTTCGAACTTACATTAAAACTACGAAGAAACTGCTCTCAACATTTTCAAAACAGATTTCTGGGTTGAGATGTTTTATATGCAAATCAGGAGAGATTCATTATTTTGAAAGAATTCTATCGAGATGTTAGGAGACATCTTTTAAGAAGGTTCACTGACATTTTATCCTGGAAAAGTATCGAATATACTTCCGGAATACTCAGCAACCTATTTCGGAATTCATTTAAAAAGCATCGTCAATGCATAAATAGGAAACAAATGCGTAATGCAGAGTTAAATGTATTCATCAGTTTTCAGAGCTAAGGCAGCGAATGGCTCAACAAAAATGTTGAAGAAACTCGGTATTTATTCTCGTCTTTCAATTGTTTTTGAGAAGAAGAAAAATATGCTCTTCTCGTTTTGAGTGGATAAGTTTTTAACTTCAATAATTAAAGCGCATGAAGCTTATTTTTTAAAAAAGAAAATTGCTTACAATATTTGCACACACTATTTCTCAATATTTTTCGTTGCGAATGAGTAAATAAAATAAAAACTCCATCCATCTCTTGACACATTCTTTTTTTTTTCTTTACCCTGGAAATTCCTGAATAATAAATGACTTCTAATAAACGATTTTTTCATAAATTATCAACAAAAAAAAAATTTGATTTGTCGCTTTTCTTTTCAAAAAAATTGGTAACCGCTTTCCTTACCAGTTTTTTTGAAGAAAAAAAAATGCAAAAAATCGACATATTTTTTTTTATTTCATTCATAAATACAAGGAACTAAAACAAAACATAATACTCAAGTTCTAAATTGAAATATTAATTTTTTATGCGTAAAAAATATTCAATTTACCTTCAGTTTACTATCCCAAATGATCTCAGGCAAATGAAAAAAGTTAATATAAGTCTTTTTATCTATTCACATCTTCATCATCTGAAATATCGTCTGCGTTACTTTCACTTTAGCTCGCGAACGCCATTTTTTTTAACTTTTTTTGTTCTATGTCAATTCATCAACCATCGTATACACAATTATACAAAACACGTCCCACAAATTGTAAAACTCCCAAACAAATATTGGCAAACTTCCCATCAAAGCATTATTTTTTGTTTCGCTTCCAGCCGAATAAAAACGTACAGACGAATTCTGCTATACCCGAGTTTATTAGGGATAATAAATATTGGCAATCTATACACATACCCCAGTTAACTCGGGATAATCGAGGGAAGCGGTTAAATAACTTTTTTATTTCTTTACTCCTCTCTGAAATAGTTGGCAACACTTCTTCACACTTTAAATATTTTATAGAAATTTGTAAAACAAGCTCTCTCATTAATATATTTTATTTTCAGAATTTCAACTAAAAGTGATAATATGTTATAAATTATACTGTTTTTTTTTTAAATTTATTTTAATATTAACTTTTGCTCTGTACAGTTTCTATGAATCAGCATTCACAGTCTTCCTGAGGACATTTAATTTAAAATTTAGCAGTTCTTCTTTTTTAACTCTCAATGATTTCTTGACAACACTATCTCAATAAAAGTTAACAATTTTGTGATAAACGAGTGTTTTCTAAATATTAAAAAAAAAGAGTTGTGAATTGTGTTGATGGAGTGGAAATTGTCAATAGATTTTGAAGATGATGATACATAATTTTTAAGACATAAAAGATGTATGTCATTTTTCTAATCATTTTTCCAGTGAAAAAAAAATTATTTCTCATATCTCGAGGAGAAATAGTTAATTATAAAACTGTTAATGATAATAGAATAATAAATCAATTTAATAATGGTTTTCAGATCTATATTATTTGCGTTCAAATTGTTCTTTTTAGTATAGTCTATTATAAACTGCTGTTTGTAGAAAATGCAACACCATGAAGGAATCATCAGAATCAAATGAAATATTATTTTAATAATGGAT